GCATTCGGCAATATCGAGATTATATTGGCTTTTACGGAGCTTAATTTATTAACTGGGCCGGGACCGAGCGACGGTCTGCAGCAGGTGACGAAGCCACATGTAGGAATCCTAACATCCAATTCCATTCCTACGTCGGCCCAGGGATCACTATCGTGACCGACTTTTCCAGGCAGCCGACCAACGAGTCTGGTGGAGAGGTTTGTTACTAGGTATCAAACGGCCAGTTATTCACTGAACGCTCCAGCCAGGTTTCCCTAAACAGTCTGCCCCTACTCGTGCCCTTACGTTTCATGCAGATTCCCGCCCAACGGCCGCCCAGCACTGTCCTGCGCAGACGTTTTACAGTGGCCTCTGAACCGCGCGCTGGATCAAGAGCAGATGGTGGGCCCGGAGAAGGCGAGACATTCGCTGGGTCACACAACATGACCAACCAACCAACCAAGGCTCCGACCCCAAAGGGCGTGTCGAAAAGGCGGAGGTGAACTGGGTCTTGGGCACTGGGAGGAGAAGAGGCAACGAGCCTAGCACGGTGGAGATGGCTGTTGTCTGCAGTTACTGGATCGCATTTGCCCTTTTTGGTGATATGCTGCGATCATGGAGAAAGGTCGCGTGCCCGTTGACTCAGATGGTGATGTTCATCATCGACAATCAATTGAGGGCAAAATACCTGCTGGCGGTTTAGTGGAGGCGCTCACTGTGGGCGACGGCCAACGCCCTGGAATTGTCCCCTAATCCACCAACAGTGTCCACTGGACCAACACTGAAGATGTCGCTAGGCACCAGATACCTACTCAGCGCTTTCAGCAATGCCTCACCTCCGATCCATTCTTCCAACACAAACTGGTGATGCTGCAGCTCGCGCTTCTTTCTGGCAGTGGTGGTGTCGCCGGCGCGTGGAAATGCTCCTAGCAGATCGTCGACTCCTTCATCGTGCACCAGATCGCCTTCCCCAGGTTTCTGCACATCATCTTCCCGCTCCCAGGCTGCCACGCGAATTTGCCACCGTCATCCCCGAGGCACAACGGACGCCTCTGCATCCACTTGCTGCTGTTGGCCGGCCTCTGGGCCAGGGGAAAGGAGCAACAGATGCTCTCTCGCGACTAGCCTTCCCGCTTCCCGTCTACATGCACAGGGTCGGCTGCCTTGGGGCGAGGGGGCTGAGGAGCTCAAAACGGGGGACTCGGAGGCTGAGATCCGTCCTGCCTCCTAGTGAGCCACAATGCTGTGTCACTGTGACGGAAGCTCTCTCACAGGGGTAGAGAGAATCAATCTCATTTGCATGCCGGTACTGGAATCGATCCCGCGCATCCCGATAGCAGCCTGGTGATGGCAGTCCGCCTTGTGGGTGCGATTTGGATGCGACCTGACGAGTCGCAAATGGCTGTCAGCCTGCCAATCCGCGTCTGAGCCCAGGCCGGCAGTGCGAGCTGAGCTGACCAGAGAAACGGTCCGGATAGGCGCAGGCACGGCGATAGGCGATGTCCACGGGCATCTGGCGAATGGGTTTCTGCGCTCTTCCTCGCCCATGCCGGTGCGAACTGGTCTGCGTGAGCCGGTCAGCGCCGCCTTCTACGCGGTCCCGAAGCCATCAGCCCACCCGCCAGTGAGTCAGGCCAAGATTAGAGGGATGTCTGCGTGATGTGATGTGATGTGATGTGATGTTGGTGAGAGGCGCCCGACCAACAGCAACATGTTGCGAGTGCCGACCACTCTTCAATTTCGGGGTGGTCGCATCAGGGCTGTGCCGCCGGTCAACTAACCTAAATCTGCATGACTCTGGCTGGTTATGCATGCAGGACTGGGCAGAGCGTGAAAATATCTGCCAGTCCCGAGGGCAGCTCTGGCGCCACTCACGCCCAGCCAGACCGTGAGAACCATCTCTCACCAGATGGGCTGCATTAGGTTTGCAGCCGTGGTTCGTTTTCGCAAGCGAGGAGGGGCCGTATCATCACCCCTACGGCCCTCATCGGCTCAGCAACCCGCCAAGGCTGATGCGTGTCTCACTTCCAGGATCGGTGGCTTTCATCACACGGCTACAGGAGTTTTCACCTCTGGTTTCGTCCCTCCCCGGTCATTGGCCTGTCGGTGCCACCAGACAATCTCCCCAGGGGCTTGGCAGCCTTGCCAGCGAAAATACGCGCCAGATGCGGCAGCATCTTTCTTCAAGGGGAAATCTAATGCGATTGCGACGGTGTCGAGAAGAAAAGGACGCCGCTAAAAACCAGGTAAAGGGCTGACCGCCACGGTGGAGAGATTGGAGACGATTCCGTGCGCCTGTGTAATCGTGTATTGCATGCATGAATGAAGCTATCTGTGAGTGATCCCCAAGTCGTGCATACATAGTCCCATGCAGGCCCTCTATCGAAACCGCCTCCTTCCTCAGCTTAATCGCCGATTGCGCAGAGGTGCCGCCTTTTACACCGCCGGTCGCGGTTCTTCCTCCCCACGGCGAGGAAATAATGATCATCTCGGGGGTGGATGGGGGGTGTGTGGTCAGCCGAGCCTCGTGCCGCTGTGCAATTCTCTTCCAGACTCTTCCGACCCCACCACCAACAAGAACTTTCTAATCTCAGTTTGCGTGGCTGACTGCCATGGTGTGTACGGATGCTCGTCACGCAAAAAGGAAAATATCTTTCAGTGTGACAGGAAAGTTTGCGGTGGTCCTGTGACGCAGGTACAATTGGGAGATGAGATGATGACCATTGATGATTCAGGTACGGCCTGATGTCAGCGCTTGCAGGCCATATTGCCACATAGTCCTGGGAGTTGGATGCCAAAACCTCGTAATCGGCATTCCTGGCTGCTCATTAATAATTCCGCCGGCCACTCATTAATAATCTAGTTCATGGATGTAATTGCTTAGGCATGATGATCTGACTATATCCCATCTATAGCCCATCATATGGAAGCTATTCGATTTTCTACAACGATTGATGAGCTCAGGGGGAATGCATGGTCATCGATAGGTAGAGCCGAAGGCGTAGCAAGTGAGAACAAGTTGTGTATACGAGTGATGCTAAGTTAAACCCAATGTATTCTCTTCTGTGTCATGCAGCGTGAACATTGTCCATTGGAATATCTAGCCTGTGTAGCCATCCTGACTCAACTATTAGATTATAACCTGGAAGGTACTGCAATTAGTGAGGTTGTTCTCGAACGTTTCTAAGAGGCTATAGCGTACAAAGTGAAGTTATTCACATGTCATCATAAATACCAAAAAGGGAAAAGGAACAGAGTTCAATCTGGTTACTGCGAAACGACATCACAAACTATTACCCTGGTGATCAGAAATTATACGTACACATACTTCTGAATCCATTTTCTTTCACGAGACTGTTTGAACCAATGGTGGTATGTAATTTCTGGACTTCCACCCCAAACAGAGCTACAAGCAACGCATCCCGTTGGGTCCAGCTGGTTGCAATCTATTGAGTAGCTGTTTGATTCTGCCGTGGATCAGCAACATAAGGTACCAATACCGCAGAGCTTCTGAAAGCTCATGAGATTCTAGATAAGAATTCAATAAATAGAATGCTGTTTTGAATATATTCACAAGCTCTCCAAGCCAGAACTAGTACATGACGTCCAGAGATCATGAAATAATCTGGCCGGGAGAGGAATACTATGCTGGAACAATGGGGGTGTCCCGCCTACAAGTGACTTTATCCATGTGCTACCATTGCTTTCTGGAAATGTAGCTCTCAGTAACATGCCTTCTAGGCGAATATTCAATACAATAGATAGTTTCTTTCATCAAGACACATTGTCATGTTCCAATTCACTGAAAACTAGTCCTGAAATATCCGCCCTCCGCGCCCTAGGAGCAGAAACTTCCGTGATTACTGTTATATTAACTTACGATGGCGTGTGAAGTCTTCTTGACCGGATTATAGTCATGAATGTGCGTGCAAAAGTGATTACCGAAAGTGAGAACATCGAATATCAGCGTGACTGAGTCAAACTTGAGCATGCCTCTAACTCCAATGCAGAACCTATGCAATTCCCAAATTACCCCCTCCTACACATCTTGATCTGCACTTCTCAATCAACTTTGTCGTGCGATATTGAAGTATTTATCAGTTTAAACGCATCTTATTGATCGGAAACACACCGCCAAAAGCCCAGCAAAATGGAGCCAATTCCCAAAGACAACACTTCAACTGGGCCAGCCTGGAACCAATTGGTGAGGACAATCGTATTCGATTTCAACAGAGACGATGAGAAGCATTTGTATACCGGACGGAAACTGACGGAATTTCTTGAAACCCTCCGCATATCTAAGTTTTGGCGCGTCACAGGCTATACCGGCATTAGGTATCACGACAACAAGTAGGAACTATTCGTAGAAAATGACGAGACCATTAAGCCATAACGTGCGAAAGAGGCCCTCGAAGCTATGAAGTTTCAGGCAGAGAGCATTTGGGTCACTACTTGGCCGCGACAAGATCAACTGAGCTATCTCTCGACATGGTTCAAAAGAGCGTGGAGGAGTCGGTGGAAGTTGACGATTTCCAGGGGATAGAGGTTTGAGAGGTGGTAGGATCTTCTAATGGAATTGATCCATGAGTGCTTGTCCCTAAGAACAAGCCTTGAAGTTGTCGGCAGCTCCGATTCCTGATGGTAGAGAGAGACTCTACTAGGGCTTTCGATCCTGTGGTGGATTGGTTTGAGATGTTTGGTTGAAACACCTGTGCGACAACAACATCTCATTCCTGTCAAGTGTATTTCTTTCTCCTGTTGTCTTATTGAGTCAATGCGACTTGCAACTTTAGTCGTTTGCCCATCCTTTTTATGGAGGGAATGAGACTTTGTCGGGTGTTCTGAAGTAGAGAGAGGTTGTGTTGGTGTAGGGTTGGAGAGGTAACCAGGAACATGCTGTATTCTCACTGATTGATATGTGCCATCTGATTGAATGAATGAGACAACTATCTAGAGCTAAGATCTTCAATGAAGTCACCCCATGTTGCTCTACTCTACTTTTCTGAATGGCCCGGGAGAGGTCAGCACCAAGCGTAATGCTCGTTGTTAATCAACACAGGCTCTTCAGTTAGACCATCAGACTCATCATCGCCGAACCAAAGACAGCTGGCGATGCACTCCGCCTCCCGTTCTACTTTTTGGTATTTTAGAGAACTTTCATCGATTAGTCTTTGAGCCAGCACTGAAGGCTCCCAAATCTTCACTCGATCGAGACGCCACGCCTTAGCTTGATGCTGAGCGGCCTTAACGACCGCCTCGAAAGACTCGAGAACGTCCGGGTCTACCGCGGCTGCAGCATCGTCAGAGCTGACGCAGGAGAAGGATTTGTTGGCCGTCTTGTCGGATTCAATAACTAAACGCAAGATGTAGAGCACATTATTAGGCGACTCAGCATCAGGATGGTCGTAATAACGACGTGTCCAGATAGCCCAAACCTGTTTTCCGGGCCTGCCTGCGATTGCCCCCTTGATGTCTGGGACCTTACCGCCGAAGATGAACTTGGAAGCAAACTCTTCTTTGGAGATGTGCCATAACATGTGGTCTACATCTGGGAGTATCACCGCTCGTGTCTTGATGGACGGTTCGGGCGCCGACATGGCCTCTCGAATCATGATCTCATCCCTGCGGCAAAGGTCTGCAATCTCATCTGTGGTGACCGGATGGACAGAAGATGGCCATTCCACGTCGCCGGGAGGGAACTCGAAATGGAAATTGGTCTGGTTAGGCCTCCATCCCAATGTGGCGTAGTATTCCTTCCCAATGTCGGAGTACAGGATGCTTCCCGTTACAGGAGTTCCGCTTTCTGCCTGCCAACTGCGAAGCGCCTTGGCCATTTCTACCATGTGTCGACCGGCGTAGCCACGGCGCCGATACTGGGGTGCGCAGAACACGCTGGCTATGCCGTGGATGATTGCTTCCTTGGTATTACCATCCTGGTCGCTCTGGAGGCTTCGCTTCCTGAAGCTTTCGCAAGAGGCGAGGATACGGCGATGGTTGGGGGGCTGATCCTTGTCGACCAGAATCCATTGGGTCATGCCGCCGTCTCTAGCGAGAGGGACCGTAGCGAGAAAGCTTGACTCACGGAGGAAGACTGGGAGAGTCAGCGAGTCCTTCCATAGCGCCGATATGTCAGTCCAGATGGTGACGCATTCGTCTGGCGTTGGGTGGCTGAGATGGAGGGTTGTCGAGTTGGACTCTGGTAGTTGAGAGGTCATTCGTGTACGCCAGGACGTAGCCAGATAATTACTGGTGATGGAATTGCTTGACTTTCGTTGATGATGTGTCAAATATCTGCTGTTGAAGCGGGGTAGCCACGCGACGCGAACCAATGTTATTTGGCGGCATTGTTATGATGGGGTTGCGTTTAAGTTCACGTTTTCACCTTGTTCAATTCTATCTCGTGTTGAGAGGTGAAAGTCCTGAACGGCAACTTTGTCAAGCACAACAGCCACCGCTTTAGATACTTAAGAGCCGGAACATTGCCTTTCAGTCCTCCGAATATCCTCCATCTAGACTCATTACTAACAAGCTATTGAAATTGAACTTGGTTGCCTCACCTCGATGTATAGGGTAGGTAAGTTGGTTGGTGGATGAGCCTCCTTGACATCAATTGATTGAATGGAAGAAGGCCCCTGATTCCCGTTTCTGATCTGGGACGAAATTCTCCAACGTAGGTACTTTCGACCGTAAGGACAGGCAGTCGTGAGAATTCCCCGAATTTAGAGGAAACAATTGATTGGCCGGCTCGTTGAGGTAGGGTATATCAGGCTGTGATTGATGTCGCAGAACCCTCCAGCTAGTAGGCGATCTCTATTTAGAATCTTAGATGTTCATATCCACCAGCGCAACGACGGATAATGCGCAAGGAGGTATCAAGGGTACAATTCCCGACCCAAACGATGAAGGATTGACTGCCTGTTCTAGTCTGGGCTAACATTCGGCAGTGACCTGCTCAGTGAGGGCGTTTTGATGGGCACAATCTTGAGGTTTTCAATTGGCGCCGAGGGTCCACCCAGTAGGGCTGAGAGGATGGAGTCAGCGGGCTAGAGTGAACCAAATTGCTTGGGAACTTGCGCATTGTCGAGGAGCTGTTGATATCGCCTGGAGACCAATTGCCACTGGCTATGTACTACGCGACGCGTCTTTTGACTAACAAGAGCGTCCTCCCCAAGTGTTCTCTGGCTGAGCTGGGAGGTTAGCGATGGGCTTCATTGCATCACAGCATCCATCGTGAAGTTATTGTGGGCCGCAGAATACTTCCCAGAAAGGCAATGGTGCATTCAGCAAATTGCCTGGTCTCTTGAAGGAACATTGCTAGGGAATTGTGCTGATCAGCGAGGCGTGCGTGATTGGCTGCATCGCTTAGAGTTGATGGGTCAGCACAGGGGTCATGACGATGCCCTGCCGTAGCGTACCACGGGGCTGAGGCAGAGTGGTAACTGTACCCTTTCGTGGAGATGTCTGATCATTGGCTGGGTGTATTTCAAGGTGAGGGTGAGACGGGGAGGACAGCGGTAGATGGCTTATCATGGAGGCCTATTGAGGGTGGGCCTCATATTGAATGGAAGGGATGGACTGGATATGTTTCCATTGGACGCTAGTTACATTATCGGAAATACCGAGTAATACTGAGTGGCTTCTGGTTTGACAAAGAAGCGTGGTTCTACTCTGCTTGGGTGTATGGCACTCTGAAGTGTGAAGATGACGATGATGCTTGATGATGCTCGATGAGTGCAGGTTCAGGCGTGTCGGCGTTGGGGACAAAGAGGAGCGGCGAGGTGGCTCTCACTAAAAACAACGGCGCCGAATTAAGGTTGCCAAGAGCGCCTACAAGCAGTGCAATGTCGTCAAGCTCGAACATGGTGAAGCTGTTCCGTGGCGCTGGCACTGGCAGATGCCTTCTGTTGACGTGCACAGGCAGCATTTGGTGGACCCCTGGAATGGCCAGAGTAAGAGCCATCATTGCCAAGATAGAAGAATGTCCGACAACTGTCTCAATTGAGTAAGAGCACCCACACGTCACAGCCGGGCGCAAGCAGTAAGCGGCACTGGGCTGCCTGTTCACTCGGCTGAGAGACAGGCTGGGGGTGATGGTGAGAGACAGTTTCATTTTCATTGTTCTATAAGATCCGTCATCGCCCCCTCTTCTCTTGGACGGATGGAATTGATGCATGTAAACGTTTAGCGAGGTTGCCCTTTCTTTTCTTCCTGGTAAGTGGGATGACCTGGTCCAGCAGCTCTTGGTGATGTCAATGGAAATGGCCTAACTGTGAAGCTGTCCAGTCCTACCACCTGTTCAACACCTGTTCTCTATCGATTCCGACTGATATAGATCTTCCCGAGCGTGTTGTTTGGGAGTTTTGTTATTGAAATCACCATTCGTTGTGACAAGTCCAGCCTCTGTTGGTTGGGCAATCCGCTCAGTGTCCAACGAAGCTGTTTTAGTGCCTAGCTCCACTGAGCGTAGGCCCGGGCTCCAGCCACTGCAGCCACTATGGCGCCGCAGAACAAATCGGCTTTGGGGAAGCAGGTTTTGACACTCGTCAACAAGAACCTCAGTCTTCTCCTCCGCCACCACATCAACACCACCATCTACACCGCGCTCCTCCTCCCCATCCTCCTCACCGTCTACATCGGCATCGGCCAGCGATTGAACCAGCCGCAGTCCAAGTATGGCTTCGCCGACCCTCTCGAGATCCGGGCTTTCGACGACGCCCTGAAGTCGGCCAGCTCCTGGCACAACGACGTTGTTTTTGTCCACAATGGCCACACCGGCGGCGAGATCGAGCGCGTCATTGGCGACTTGCGCTCCTAGGTCGAGGCGGCTGGCAAGACTGCCCATGTGGAAGAATCAGAGGACCGCTTGCGCAGCATCTGCCGCTCCTCGTTCAAGATGTCTAGCTCGTGCTATGGCGCCGTTGTCTTCGAGTCCTCCCCTAGCGAGGGCGACGGACATCGATGGAGCTACATCATGAGGGGCGACGGCGCTCTAGAGCAGGAGTACAAGGTCCAGAACAACGACAACCCGGCTCAGATCTACGCCTTGCCCTTCCAGCGAGCTATCGACACGGCCATCATCCGAGCCAACTCCTCCAATACCAACGACGCCCCCAACCTTGCCAACACCCGCGAATTCGCCTTTACCTCGATCGATGATAAGGAGCGTGAGGCCGATGGCCGGAGGCGGTACCAGAGGACTCTGATTGACGTCCTGGGAGCCATTTTTGCCCTTGCCCTGATCGGCACCGCATACCGCATGCCTGGCCACATGGCGACCGAGCGAGAGACTGGTCTGGCCCAGCTCATTGATTCCATGATGCCCACCAAGTATGATTGGGAGGCACAGCTGGCTCGCATCCTCTCCTGGCTCTACTCCTATACCATTGTCTACCTCCCTGGTTGGATTGTCGCTGCCGTCATCTCTGGCGTAATGGTTTGGTCCAAGACGAACCTGGGCATTGTCATTGTGACTTTTCTTCTGGCAGGACTCGCTCTGACTTCTCAGGCTCTTCTGGGTGGAACTCCCTTCAAGGAGGCCGAGCTGTCAGGCATTGTCAACAGCGTCGTCTTCATGCTCCTTGCTGCCCTCGCCCAGGCCCTACCGAATCCGCCCACGGTAGCCGTTGCTGTCCTGAGCATTCTCTTCACGCCCTGTAACTTTGTCTTCTTCATCAAGGCCATGGCCCGATTCGAGGCTGAGGGCCAGGGCATGCAGCTCGTTGGCACACCTCCCGATAGCAATTCCTCCATGCCGGGCTTCCTCACCTGGATATTCTTCATTATTCAGATCCTCGTCTATCCTCTCATCGCCGCCTTCCTGGAGCGTGCGTTCCACAGCGTTGCCGCTGATGGTAGGAAGGTGTACCGGGGTGATGGTGTTGCTCCTGAGCATGCCGTGCAGATAAACGGAATGACCAAGGCGTACACTCCTGGCTTCTTCCGACGCCTATTTTCCTTCATCTCGAAGCCTCGCCCTGCAACAGTGGCCGTCCGCAACCTGTCCCTATCGGCTAAGCGTGGTCAGATCCTCGCCCTTTTGGGTGCCAATGGCAGTGGTAAAAGTACCACTCTTGATGCCATTGCAGGCCTTCATCGTTTTGATTCTGGAAGTTTGTCGATTGATGCTTCGGGCGGAATTGGCATAGCGCCCCAAAAGAACGTCTTGTGGGAAGAGATGACCGTCATGGAGCATATCAAGTTCTTCAACAAACTCAAGTCCCCCTTCGCCCCGGCATCTGACATAGAGCTGAACGATCTGATTGCCTCTATCGGTCTCTCTATGAAGGCTCACACCAAATCCAAGCATCTTTCGGGTGGTCAGAAGCGCAAGTTGCAGCTCGGTCTCATGTTGACTGGTGGGAGCAGTCTGTGCTGCGTGGACGAGGTCTCATCTGGCATTGATCCCCTCTCTCGCCGCAAAATCTGGGATATCCTCCTTGCCGAGCGTGGCAGAAGAACCATCATCATGACGACTCACTTCCTGGACGAGGCTGACTTGCTGGCTGACAACATTGCCATTCTTTCCAAGGGAGAGCTGCGGGCTGAGGGATCGTCCGCAGCCCTCAAGGACGCTCTTGGCGCGGGATACCGCGTTCACGTCCTGAATGCCAAGCATGTCCGAAGCCCGCCCGCAATTCCCGGAGTCGATTGCAATGTCACTAGCACCAACATCGTCTACACTGCTCCTAGCTCTGAGCTGGCTGCCGAGGTGATTCGTGCCCTTGAATCTTCTGGACTTGAGTACCGTCTTACGAGCCCTACCATCGAAGATGTCTTCCTTCACGTGTCTGATGAAGTCAAAGCCGAGGAGAACTTGGCTCTGAGCGATGAGCCTTCTTCTCACTCCCGTTCTCATCGGCCCTCCAATTCCGTCAGCAGCGATCATATGTCGCAAGAGAAGGCAATGCTCAACCGAGATGGCTCCCCACAGCTGCTCTCCGGCAAACCTGCCGGTTTCTTCAAGCAGGTTGCTGTTCTTGTTAACAAGCGATTCACTCTTTTCAAGTCCAACTGGTTCCCGATCATCGTCGCATTCGTTATTCCCATTGTTGCTGCTGCTGCGCTGCAGTCGATGCTTAAAGACATCACAGAGGTCAACAGTTGCACCCCAGTGAACGGCAATACAGGCGAGACAAAGGCGAGATACGGTGATTTTGTGACTCACGCCAATCTCTCAGTCGGCCCATCGTCCGAATATGGGAATGGATTTGATGCTAATACTGAGTTTAGAGACATCCTTCCTGTGAACGGCCAGGGCCAGTCAAACGCCGATGACATGCACTTCCTGACGAGCGACACTTTTGACAATCTGCGCAAGCTGGTGGAGGATTCCAGAGCCCAGATCAACCCCGGTGGCTGGTGGATTGACACATCAGGCGACGCTGCGACGGTGATTTATCGAGTCAATTCAGACAATCCGAGCATGCAGTCCATGTCCGCTTCCATCGCTACGCTCAACCTTGTCAATAACCTGCGATCTGATGTCCCCATCTCGGTGACCTTCCTGCCGTTTGATAGCCCGGGACAGAGTGGCGACTTTGGCAAGCTGCTCCAGGTCGCCATCTTCTTTACAGTCTTGTCAGGTGTGGCTACTTGCTTCTTCAGTCTGTACCCCAACGTTGAGCGCAGAGCGAATGTTCGCGGTCTTCAGTACTCGAGCGGCGTTCGGTCCCTTCCTCAATGGCTGTCTCATCTTGTGTTTGACTATTTGTGGTTCATGGTAGCTTTGATCGTCGCTGCTATAATCTTTGCTGTGTCTTCCAAAGCTTGGTACAATGTCGGTTATCTGTTCCCCGTCTTTCTCCTGTACGGAATCTGCGGTATCCTGTTGTCATACATCTTCTCGCTGTTCATGCACAACCAGCTGGCGGCTTGGGGCGGTATGTCGGCCTTCAACGTTGTTGGCTTTGCCATTTACATCATCGCATGGTTCTACATCATTACCTTCTCGCCCGTTGACGTCGTCGACCGCAACGTCCTGATTGCCCACTACGTGATTTCCGCCATCTTCCCCGTGGGCTCTCTCTTCCGCGCCCTCGTTGTCGGCCTCAACTTTAACTCATCTGCCTGCGATGGCGATGTGCTATACAGCTACCCTGGCAACATCAATGCTTTTGGCGCTCCGATCTTATACCTGACTATTCAGGCCATTATCCTCTTCTCCATCCTCTTGTACCAGGACAGCGGGAATAAGCTGCCTTCATTCATGACCCCCAAGCCAAAGTCGTCAACTGTGGACACCGAGACCGCGTACGACTCCCATCCACAGGGTAACACTGGATCAGGCCTGCAAGTCAAGAACCTGACCAAGCGTTTCGGTAACCACACCGCCGTGGACGATGTCAGCTTCAACGTCAAGCATGGCGAGGTGTACGCCCTGCTGGGCCCCAACGGCGCTGGAAAGTCTACCATTATGGGCATGATCCGGGGCGACATCCAGTCCGCTGGAAAGGGCGACGTGTTCATCGAGGACGTGTCGGTCCGCGCCCAGCGGGCCCTGGCTCGCTCGAATCTGGGCGTCTGCCCGCAGTTCGATGCCATCGATAACATGACGGTCATTGAGCACCTGCGCCATTACGCTCGCCTGCGTGGGATTTCCGACGTTGACCGTCAGGTCAGGGCTGTCCTGCACGCCGTTGGTCTCGAGCGGTTCAAGAACACTAATGCCCATCACCTGTCGGGCGGCAACAAGCGCAAGCTCTCTCTGGGTATCGCTCTCACCGGCAACCCCACGGTCATCATCCTGGACGAGCCGTCTAGTGGTCTGGATGCTGCTGCCAAGCGTGTCATGTGGCGCACCTTGGAGACCATCATTCCCGGGCGCTCCATCCTGCTTACAACGCACAGCATGGAGGAGGCTGACGCACTGGCCGGGCGTGCAGGCATTGTCGCCCAGCGCATGCTCGCGGCCGGCACTGTCGATTGGCTGCGTGAGCAGTTTGGCGACTCGCTGTACGTGCACCTGGTCCAGAAGACGGCGCCCCATTCGTCCCCCGAGGAGATGGAGCGCGTCGAGTCCTGGGTCAAGACGACGTTCCCGAGCGCCAAGCTGGAGAGTGAGACATACCACGGCCAGGTGCGTTTCTCTGTGCCTGCATCCGCGGTGAGGGATCTGGCAGCGGCGCAGGGCACGCGGTACCCTGGAAACCGTTCAGACGGCAGCCCCATCGGGCAGCTCATCGTCATGCTGGAGGAGGCTAAAGAATATCTTGGCATCGAGCATCACAGCGTCAGCCCTACCACGCTGAACGAGGTGTTTTTGTCCATCGTAGGCCAACACGACGTGGTGGAGGAGGGCTACTCTGCCAGCAACCAGCAGCAGGGCAAGACGAGATGGGAGAGGACGCGCAAGGTTCTTGTCGGGTTCTAACGGGCGAGATGTTAATGTGATACTTTGAAGTTCTTCTGGAGGTCTGAGGGTTTTTTATTCTCATTTTCATTTTGTAACCTTCTGTTTGTGATTTAGAGATACTCCTACAACGACGTGTTTGTTCAATTTCTGAGATGTATAGAGAATTAGAAATGGTACATTTTAATCAATTCAGACCTATTTTGTAGTAGAGTGAGGCTAGTCGGTCAGCATTCCTTTTTAGTTCTTTATTAATACGAACCCCTATGTTCACGTATTATTTTTGATGTTTGGTATATCTCAAGATGGTGCGATTGGCTCGACTTCCGATACCCCTGCAATTAAACCTGTGGAGAATGGATACATGAATCGATGTTTTCCGGGGTCTTGCCTGTTGGCCCTGAGAATAGCAGGAAGGTTGCATGGGCTCTGTTTTGGACAGAGAAGGTTTTATTATTCGCGCTGACAATTGAATTGGGGGCGGGGGAAGGGCCCAGCGCAATATAAGAGACACACACCACCACCACCACCAACACACGTGCAGGAGAAAACTGCATCCGCACAGCAGAGCCGAGCCAGATTTCCAATTGCGCATTTTCTAGAGTAGCACCGCTTCTTCGACTGTCTCCATGGACTCCGGAGATGCTGCCCGCCTCGCCCTGGCAGCATGCGGCATCCTCTCTGTCCTCGCCATCGCCTACCTCGTCCGCCTCAACATCATGCTCAAGGGCACGCCGGCTGAGGCCCGAGGGATCGTGACGCCGTGGACGGAGGAGCTGCGGCGCAAGGCCTACAAGGAGCTCGAGAACAACCCGGTGGACTGGACTGCCGACCTGCCCCCCAAGCTGGACCGGAGATACATCATCACGGGAGGCAACGGTGAGTGGTGGCCGCACCCATCTGCCCAGTAACGTGGCTAACAACGTGTCCAGGTCTCGTCGGTGGTTACATTGTCCTCCAGCTCCTGGCTAGAGGCACGTCGCCAGAGAGCATCCGCATCCTGGACATCCGCGAGACGGAGCGCAGTGACCTGTCCATCGGACCAGCCGCCCAGGTGGAATTCATCAAGACGGACATCACCTCCCCCGAGTCGCTGGACGCCGCCTTCAGCAAGCCGTGGAGTAAATCCGTCGCTCACCTGCCGCTCACCGTCTTCCACACTGCCGCCGTCATCGTCGTGTCGGAGAGGATCAAGCTCTTCTACCGGCTGCCCGAGGCCGTCAACATCCACGGCACCAGGAACGTCCTCGACGCCGCGCGCAAGGCCGGCGCCGACATCTTCTCCGCCACCTCGTCCGGCTCCATCGCCATACGTCCCATCAGCGTCTGGGATTCCTGGTGGCGGTCCCAGCCGAGGGACTACCTCCAGTTCATAGACGAGAGCGACTTCGACAAGCCCATGCGCGCCCACGAGGAGTACTTCGGCAACTATGCCGTTTCCAAGGCGGACGCTGAAAGGATGGTCTGCGGCGAGAACGAGGAGTCTTTCCGCACGGGGTGCATCCGGCCAACTAATGCAGTCTACGGCCAGCAGGGGGACGCCTGCTTTGGTAGGCTGTTGAGTCTACCTGTGATTCAGACGTAAGTTCCCCGGGTCTGTCTCTCACATATAAACGATCAAGCAGCGCTGACATGTAATCGTGATAGCTGGATCCCCCACGTCATTCAGAACTTCGTCCACGGAGCCAACGTAGCCGAAGGCCACCTCCGTCAAGAAGCAGTCCTCGCCAGGAAAGGCGACTGTCCACAGGCCGGCAGACCATTCATCGTGACCGATCCCAACCCCCCAATCACCTTCGCCGACTTGTACGGGACCATCACCACCCTCTCAGTCCACCCCACCAAGCTCCAGCTCATACAACCGGTGATCATCCTGGTGCTATCCCACATACTCGAGTGGTACAGCCAGCTCCCCTACCGCCTCCCCTTCCTGAAGCCCATCCTTCCCGAGATGAAGGGTGACATCAAGACGCTGCGCCCGGGCCTGTTCTCCGTCTGCACGCACGTCATCGCGTCGGACGCGAGAGCGAGGAAGCCCGTGGCCGAGGGCGGCCTCGGGTACCGCGGGACGTTCACGACGCTGCAGGGCATGGTCACGGAGGTCATCGAGTGGAACCAGGAGCACTCGGATAAGGAGAAGGCGAGGAGGGTGTACTCGACGTCCATACTGCTGGCGGATAAGCTGGAGAAGGTGCATGGGTCTTGATCTTGAGGCCGTCGTGGCTTATCTGGGGAGATGTGGCTGTTGGGGGTTATGAGGTGAAAAAGGTGGTGAAGGTGGGAGACTGGCGTTGGTTCAAGATTCTTAGAGCATGAGGCGTAGAACTGTTGGCTGTTGGTTCTAGGGTTTTTGTTTCGTTAGAAAGAAATAGAGGCAGGGTAGTCAAGTTACTCATACATAGGAGAGCCTGGGGGAATTGGGCAGGGTGGAAATAAAACAAGCTTTCAAAGAAACGCTGTCGAAAGAGGTGATATTGACTTGAATCGAATACAGCGGAGGTATACTAGTAGGGACTCGTAATCTTGGGATTTGACCAGAGAGCTTGTATCGAAAACGGAAATCCCTTTGAATCATTGGCCAAGATACTAAACATCGACAGCTGGTTACTGGTCTCGACCTTGAGATTGCAAGAGAAATAAGGGATGGACAACTTGAGGTATAAACAACGTGTGGGATCACGAGGCCTCAAGCCCTAATTTCTGGACATTATTTTGTCATTAAGAAAAAGCTGATAAGTTATTCGATCCGAAAACTGGGCTATTTACTCGTGGGTTTAAAGGCGGAAGCTTTGACAGCAACGTGGAACAGCAACTACGAACGTCAAACCTGTCGAGTCCACAAGACAGTGCGTTATATTGACTCCACAGTGCTTTCTGCATATAAAATACCAAAGAGCAGGAAACCAAAGGTGTGAAAGGTGCAGACTGCTTCATAATAAGACAGTGAAATGCCTTGTAGAGAGAAGAGCAAGAGATCTCAACTCATTAAAGGACAAGCGTACGAGCAGCCCACTCAGCAAACATCCCGCCTACACCCACAGCAACTGCCACCTGTGTCCACTTGCTCTTCAATCCTTTCAGATCTGGCCAGAAACTATTCACGTCTTGCTGATAGGCTTTGAACTGTTGCGCCTTGAGAGGATCGCTCTTTGAGTAACGATCTTGTCGACTGCTCTCATCCTCCTTGTTTCCCCCGTTGAATCGTAAGAAGATGTAGTTTGTGACTGGGGCTAAGATAGCAAGCGGGTGCAAGAGATTTCCACTGAGAAGCAGAATGGAAAAAGATGCTTGGACAAGGGCATCACCAAGGTAACTAGATTGACATGTTAGCGGTCGACCCTTGTTGTTGGAACTGGGGGAAATTATGGAAAACGTACTTGGGATGCCGCACAATGCCCCAGACACCTTCTCGTAAAACACCAGCGTCATAGTCTACCTTCTTGTGAGCTTCGAGCTGATAATCAGCCGCGGTTTCTAAGAAGAGTCCGGTAGAGAACAAGAAGATGGCGAGGGAATGGAGGAATCCCCTGATGCTGGTCACGGGCGGCGAGGCCAGACCACTCTGAGTCGGTGCCCGGAATGAGAGCGTGAAAGGTAAGCTGATAAGTGTCTGAGCCACAGCTTCGGGAAGGAACAGAGAGAAGAATGCCAGATTCCAGAAACGATCATCTTTCTTGACAGCGGCATACCGAGGATCGTCTCGCCCGCGTTTGGCACTTCTGCTGACGATGCAATAGAGCAGGCGGAGACCCCAGACTGAGACGCCGCCGAGAAGGAGCTTCTGGGAGTAGTCGAGCCTCGACCAAGCCTCTGGGATGGTTAAATCGTCGTTGATCACATACGTCCCAATCGCATTCCACCAGGCATTGGCTGTGATGCTGGTTGGCCAGAGCCAGTCCTTGCACTCGACACGGTCAGTGTAACGGGCTAGACCATAAGTGACCGCGGCAAAGGCAGCATGGAGGTTGAATGACGGAAGAACAGTCGACCCTAAGAGGCCGACTGTGCTGGTCCCCGCGGGAAGGATTGGGGTCTGAGGGTGAGGAGCGGCCGGGATCGGTGGATGAGGGAGCCTGCTGGCGATGCCCTCCAAGGGCAAGTCCCTGCCGGCGAATCTAGACCCGTAAATGTCTTGCTCAGCCATAGTCAACGGTGTTTCTGGATCGTCTCCGGGGAAGGGGAGATGAGGAGAGCGGTAAGTGTGCATAGAACAATGGCGGCTGTGGGGATGTCTTAAATGCTGTTTGCCTCTGAGTGGTTGTGTCATACGTCGCGATGAGATCATCAGTCAGCGATCGCTGCCCAATCATGGGATAGACTGAGAGTAGGCAACTTTAATGGACGAAAGAAGGTTATTGCGCTAGAAGCTGAAGACTGGAACAATTCTTTGTTTCAGATTCGATCCATAATGCAACGTTCGAGTTTTCCTTGGCTGTGACATTTACTATGAGCTTCGTGCATATGAAGTGGCGAGGATTTCACACTCTATTGTGAAAGATGACCTGATAGTCCCATGTGGGTTTATTTCTGGGTTTCTTTCAATTTAAATGATCACCTCTATAAGTCTCCTCGGTCAGATCTGAGACAAAAGCCTTCTGATAGTAAACACCGATATCTTACACTGGATCTCCATGATGACCTGACTGACCGCCCTGCTAGGCGAATTCGGTACTCTGATTCAATCTACAATGCCTCTATGCGATGAGTCGATACTGGTTAGTCAAAGCCATAGAGCTGTACCAAACTGCCGTAATACTTTCTATATTTGAAAATATCACTTCGAAGATGTCGTGACAAGCGCTGCGGTGGCTTATTTACGCTTAAACGATGTTACATTGCAGACCACCGGTCCAGTAAAGTGGATTAATATTCCACCGCCACACACAAGAACAGAACTAAAGTAGCCTATAACATACCCAGTCGCCTCAGCCGAACAAGAGGATAAACTGAGCATGGTGGGGCCGGATCTCGCGTTGTGTGTTTGGACTCTCTTGAAAGAGATGATGTGGATATAATCCGAGGGAAATTTTCCGGCATTCGGAAGATCGCTCGGCAGTATCGTCACTCTTCTCTCTGGATTGGCTTGGAATGTGTACGGGAACAATCTAGATGGATAATATAACCGGTTGCCTAGCGGAGAAAAGGAAATCCCAATGACAATCCCGTGGCCAATTAGCCTAAGTTGACAACTTCATCTCCACGTAAAGCGGACGTTATGAGGGAACAAGAAGATGAGCACAAGTATATAAAGAGCTAGGGTGTCTAAACAGGCCGGAGTTTATCTAGCCCAGTCAGCAAATAATAAGAGCTGATCTTAGCCATGGTTTCGTTTATCCATTTGGGGTTACTGCTGTTATCAGCCAACCCCTATGCTGAAGCACTTGCTGTCAGTAAAACACGCACAGAGTCTCTGGGGCGCGAACGTGTCAATATCAACTCAGATTGGCGTTTCTGGAGGTCAGAGGAAAACCCTGATGGCATTATATATGACCAGCGTAAAGATCTCGAACACTTGTCCGATGCCGAGATTTTGAAGGACTGGGTTCTCCCGTCAGCGAATGATTTCATCCGGGATACTTCGAAGCACTATAAACGCCCCGAGGGAAAGCCTGGCACCGTCGTGCCCTACGTACAGGGAGATTTCGACGACGAGAAGTGGGATGTGGTTAATTTGCCCCATGATTGGGCCATTTCCGGACCCTTCTATACCGACGCGGACGGTGAAGCCATCGTTGGGGGCGGAATGGGCCGCTTGCCTGTACATGGCGTTGGGTGGTATCGCCGTAAGATTGAGAAGACGACGGAGGACAAGAACAAGCAAATCTACCTGGACATCGATGGCGCAATGTCCTTTGCCATGGTCTGGTTGAACGGCGAACTTATTGGTGGATGGCCCTATCCTTACAATTCGTTTCGACTGGATTTGACTCCACATCTCAAGGATGGAGGGGACAATATTTTGGCTATCCGCCTTGATAATCCTGTCAAGTCGGCGAGGTGGTACCCAGGGGGTGGCATCTACCGTAACGTTTGGCTCACAAAGGTGGAAAAAGCCCATGTCGGTCAATGGGGGACATTTATCAAGTCGAGAGATGTATCCTCGGAATCTGCCACCCTTGATCTCACGGTCGAAGTCGAAAACAGCGAAGAAGATACAGTCAGCGTTGATGTTGTTACAGAAATCTTCGTCCTGGACTCAGCTAGCGACACGGCCGGTGAAAAGGTGGCAAGTCTCCCCAAAGAGTCTGTACAAGCCAAGTCTGGGGAGAAGACGTCGGTTACTGGCTCAACCACCATCAGCAACCCTCAGCTCTGGGGCCCTCCACCTACGCAAACACCTCATCTATATGTGGCGATCACGAAGCTATACAAATCCAACGGGGAAGAAATAGATCGGTACGAGAGTAACTTCGGTATTCGAAGCGTCGAATTCACTGCAAATGATGGACTCTTGGTCAACGGTGAACGGATTCAGATACATGGTGTCAACCAACACCATGATCTGGGCGCGATTGGAGCAGCTTTCAACACAAGGGCGGCGGAACGGCAGCTGGAATTGCTGCTAGAGCTTGGAAGCAACGCTATTCGAATGTCACATAATCCGCCAGCCCCTGAGCTTCTCCATCTCACGGACAAAATGGGCTTCCTCGTGATCGACGAGGTTTTTGACAGCTGGAACCTGAACAAGACAGACAACGACTTCCACATCATCTTCCCAGATTGGCACGAGGCCGACCTGCGCTCCTTCATGCGCCGCGACAGAAACCACGCATCCGTCATCGCCTGGAGTTACGGGAACGAGGTTCTTGAGCAGCGATATGGCGGGGCGGAGGGGGCCGAGCTCAGCCGCACTCTGCGCACGCTGCTCGAGGATGAAGATTCCAGCCGGCCATCGACGGCGTCTCTGAACTTTGCACAGCCAGGGAATGACGGTGACGAATTTACACACACGATGGACATAATAGGTCTTAATTACCAAGGATCTGGCATCCGCGACCTGCCCAACTACTCACACCTGAGCGGCATACACACCAGCCCGGCATTCCCGCTGTTCCGCGAGACCTTCCCCGACAAGTTCCTCTTCACGAGTGAGTCGGCCTCTGCTCTCAGCACCCGGGGCACGTACTTCTTCCCAGTCGCCGACGACAGCGGGGCGCCTGTTAATGAAACATCTGGTGGCAACAAGGCGCTGGCCCAGGTTAGCGCGTACGAGGTGTACAGCGCTGACTTCGGGTCCTCCGCTGACAGGGCATTTGACCAGCACGACAGGCATCCGTACGTGGCCGGCGAGTTTGTCTGGACCGGGTGGGATTACCTGGGCGAGCCGACGCCATACTACTCGGCGAGGAGCTCCTACACGGGCATCATCGACCTGGCTGGCTTCAAGAAGGACCGGTTCTATCTGTATCAGGCCAGATGGCGGCCCGACCTGCCTATGGCACACATCCTGCCCCATTGGAACTGGCCCGAGCGGAAGGGAGAGGAGACGCCAGTCCACGTCTTCACGTCGGGCGACGAAGCGGAGCTTTTCTTGAATGGGGAGTCACTTGGGCAAAAGAAGAAGGAGGAGTACAAATACAGGCTTCGATGGGATGATGTCAAATACGAGCCTGGTGAGCTCCATGTGGTCGCATACAAGGAGGGCGAGAAGTGGGCGGAAGCTACTGTACGCACGACTGGCGAGGCCAGAGGGATTCGCCTGACTGCAGACCGCTCCAAAATCGCATCTGACGGATTAGACCTGTCATTCATCACTGCCGATATTATTGACGAGAGTGGGGATGTGGTTCCAGTGGCTTCGAATGAGATTCATTTTAGTGTCTGTGGCGGCGGGGGAAAGTTGGTGGCTACTGACAATGGCGACCCTGCGGACCTGAATGTGTTTCAGAACAAGACGAGGAATGCGTTTAGTGGAAAGGCCCTTGCTATTGTGAGCGCGCAGGGGGGGCAGAGTGGCAAGATAACGGTTGTAGCGAAGAGTGAAGGCCTTCAGGGTGCGAAGTTGGTCTTGGAGGCAAGCTGAGAGCTCTTTAATTAATCTTGATGGAAGGGTATCTATTAGGATATATTCAAAAGGACTTCTTCACACTGTTCAAGCCGGTGGTAACCCATCTCAGACTTTGCGTAGATATATCTCCTCCTGTACAGTTCTATGTAATGCCATGCTCGAGCCAAACCTAAGCCCGGGTCCTTGCTAAAGAGCTTCTTGCTCTTGACCATGACCTTCGGAACCGACCTCGTCTGTATCTGCAGCTTGGTTTTTCGGTATCCATGGCCCCTTTTCTTCTTCCGTTGCGTTGTGGAAAGCTTCTGCTCTCTTTAGAGTTTGCACATCAAGGTCTGTAGTATAATACCTCTCGTCGGAAAGCTTCAATCGTACCTCCTCTGTGTTGGAGAGCACCATGTCGTCCTTCACCAGACGTCGCTGCCCGTCAAACACAGCTAGAACCCGATGTCTTATCGTCATCACGGACGGATTGAACCCCCAAGATGGAGGGTACGCCTTTCCACTAACCTTCCGGCTCCTGAACTTGATGTTCGATGGCCCTCCCTGAGAGCGTCCAGAGCCGCGTTGCTTCTGGACCCCGTGTGATACCCCTTTCTTCTTTCTCCTCGAACTCGACGCTACAACTATGTCTGACGGAGTCGGCTCTGTATGATCGTCGCTCGCATCGGAGTCGCTGTCGTTTTCTAGCCCCGGAGGCTTCAGGGAGAGGTTATTTCTCGCAAGTGTCGCAAGGACTTCTGCGTCGTCCTCGACCTCCGCCAGCCTCATCGTGTTGATCGCCTCGCCCTCGTCCTCGTGCTGCAGGGTCTGCAGCACGCAGTCCTCTAGATGCTCAAACAGCGCATGGACGCTGGGCAGCGTGTAGGCGCAGATACTACACCTCGTCGGCGACAATGCTGCCGAGCTCGGCTGCCCGGCGGCCTTCCCCGGCGCGGATGCGGCGAGCTCGGCACCGTGGGCAGTCGTCAGGTGCTTCTTGAACGTGTCGGGGCGGTAGAATGTAATCTTGTTGCTGTCCTCACTGTCTGGGCAGACGCCACATATTATCGTGCCCTTGAAGTGCGTGAGGACGTGGCGGTTCCGGTCATATTTGCGGGCGAATCCCTTTCTATAGTACTCGCAGTTGCGCATGGGGCACTTCTCCGGCCGCTCGGTGCTATGGGTCAGCAGGTGAGTTTTCAGGTCTTTGAAAGCCTTCCCACAGCCCTCGTAGGGGCATGTATACAGTGCCCTCGCCTTGGTTTCTGATCCAGACGGCGAAGACATGGGAGTGTCGTTCTCCATGATCCACGCAGGACATGCCCCGGGTCTGGAGATCCTCTGGCAACTGAGGGAGTGAGATGCGGTGATGAGGCCTGGATTCCAGCCATCACCTTGAAGATGTCAACACGCGTTGGGGCACTTGGCTATGATATCTGGGTATCTTGGACTGCAGATGGCGGTCATCAAGCGCGCCTCACTGTCTCAGCTCCTCCATCCTTGCCACGAGACTACGCCACATAGACCTGGCCACTCAGAGGAAAGCCACTGGAACCTGGCGCCTTGCCCGTCCAATCACGCCCCTCGGCAGTCGAGCTGATCCCCCCTGTCCAGCTGTGCTCGGTGGGTCTTGTCAGGGAAGGCTTTCGGGATCAGCGGCCAGCCCCCTCGATACAGACTAGGGAGGGGCTCGGTGACATTGACCGTATATCTGACGCTAAAGATCGTGGGACCTGTCAAAATTTCGAATTACTAAATTTGTAACTCGCGTTCTTTTTTTGTACGGTATATATAGGCATCTCCGATGGCACCTAGCTCTTGTGGAGGGGTAATAGCGCGTGTGATTTTCATTCAAGTGGCTTCATGTACCCTCACATCAAGACCAGCCTGCTCATCTCTTTTTTTTCTTTCTTTTTCCTGTGTTTGATTTCTTCAAGGTAGATCCCCAGAATGGATGTAACCTGTTAATTTCTCAGTCACCTCCCCCGTAGCTAGAGATCACGCTGGCTTTCCTGCCCTTCCCTTGTGAGCTGGTGGGGGTTTCTAGAGGAACGTCGCCTGTGGCGGGAGGATTTTAATCAATCCGGAAGTCTGTTGACCATTGGTATTACTATCTTTTGTTACTCTCGGAGCTGATACTTAGACCAAGGATATGGTCCCTTTATTCAAGTCCAGCTAGTATCTGTAACATACGCTAAAGCCACGGCCTGTTTGAGTAAGCCCTGCTGCTTCCGAAGGCCACAGCGGCTCCCTAGTCTTGGCATTCATCTTCTCGAGATGAGCACTTCAAGGTCGGACATGTAGGATTGATTATCTTCCCGTCGATGAGGATGGGGTCTGTGACAAATTAAGCGAGCAAGGACTTGGGTATTACGACAATGGACTTATGATCTTGGCCACGGAATACGATGAGTAGAGGTTTGCAATGAACGAGGTGTTTGTGGTCTCAAGAATCCGGTTGCTTGGCTCGATCGGTATTTTGACAAACTTTGACAAGCGCGGGCGTGGGTCGTATTGATCGATCACGTCGGGGAGCTCAGCTTCGTAAAAAGGAAACATGGAATGATCAGAGTCAAACAGGAGAGTTACGCAGGGATAAGGCTTATATTAGCAAATTTACACTTTATTCGCTCTCAGCCCTATTGGTAGTTCTGGATCGTTAGCTGGTTTACCTACGCAAACCTGGGTAAACTTTAGATCAAGTAATGTGAAGGTTGAGCGTATTTGAATTGTATTATTGGTTATCAATACCTGATTTGAGCGTTCCTCTACCTATATGTAACATTTTCCACTTATAAGTCAAGACCCTGTTAGATTGAAAGGTCGTAGAGATCGCTCTAATAGCTCATCAAGAAATTGGAGTTAACTAGGAAGTCTAGTATCTGCTTCCACAAGTGAAACAAAGCTATACTCTCAGTAATATTCGTTGAGTAATAATGAGTTTCATACTGATGCTTTTGCTTCCTCTCGAACCATTTAAAAGAAGTGTAATCCGGAATGACAAAGGACGAGAAGTCACTCGTGGTAGGTGATACCCTGTTCTCTGCAACCAATATAGGCAACCACCATGCCCCTCAATTAAGAGCATCTCGACGAATAGAGCAGGTAGCTTCTCATCGAGTGAGCCGTCATCACAGATGTCCTATGAAGAAGCTTGATTGAACTATGAGAGCAAATCGGTGCGGTAACGCCTAAGTAAATCAAATGCAGTACAGCCATCTTTAATTTGGAGGCTCAAGTCAATATCAGGGTGCTTGAGTAACAATCGTGGAAGCCTTTTGAAGCCGGAGACTAAAGCCATATGCAATGCTGTCCAACCAAACCTGTCAACAGTGTTGATATCAATGATGGGATGTCTTATGAGCATCCTTGCAATCTCAAAGTTCCCAACCGTCGCAGCGACATGAAGTGGTGCCATGCCATCGTCATCTTGAGCGTTGATGATATCCCAGATTCTGGGTGTGTGATCAAGAATTTTCTCTACCATTCTCTTATTGCTGTTCTGTACGGCGTACCAGAGACATGTCCTGCCTAAATGATCAGTAATACATAGGTTTGTCCTCGGGTCGTCGTAAAGCAACTCAAATGAGTCAAACAACTTTTTTTCAGCTGCGATTAGGAGTGGTGCTTTTTCCCCCCCCTGGTCATTCCAGGCCGTGTAGGCACTGAAGCGTTTCCTTCTTGATACAGGAGGGTCACCTAAATCTCTTGACGGGTAAAAACTCACCACCAGCGAACCGTGGCCAGGTGAATCCAAATTAAGATCAATCCCTGGATACTTCATCAGAGCTTTCATGCTGGAGATGTCTGCTCTACTCACAACATCCATCAAAGCCGTCGACCCATCACGATGACGTGCATTTATATCGAGATCATTTCGAGCAAGCTGGAACTTTACATTCTCACATGAACGGTCCCTGATCGCGTTCCACAATTCCCACACATCATGTTTCGAAGCACAGCTTGTGTCTACTTCTTTGTGTTGTGGAACTTCTTGAGCAAGAGAAGCTATCATCCTCCCGGCAGCATCCTTTAAAACTCTCTCGAACTCATGTGCATGGTCTTTTCGAAACTGCGCGTTTTCCCCAAGATGCTGTATAGCCAATATGCGGTTCTGAAAACTGTTAGGCCAGAACATTAGCTCGGTGCAGCGAGGGTGATATGTATCAAGAGTCTTGTGGATTAGGAGATCAACTATACTCAGATCTCCTTGATCCATAGCCAGCACGGCAGGGAGCTGGCCGTTGACTCCTCTCGTGATATCAATGTCTAGATTCACCAAATGCCGGGCAGCGTGTAGATTGCCCTTCCAGACTGCCCACGCTAGGGGTGTAAGTCGGTTATATTTATCTGGGAGCTCTGGTTTGACACCAGGGACTTCAAGTAGCATTTGAACGGTCTCTGCGACACCCCGTTGGGCTGCTAAAGTGAGCGGCGTGTGGCCGCGGGAAATTTCCTGATTTATATCGATCTCGCCCCCAAATTGGTCTAAGAAGAGACGCAAAACACTGAAAGCACAATGATCAAAGGCTACCCTTAGCGGGCAGGACTTTTCTGATCCAAGTATTACGCTTGTCTTGGCCATGAGCAGCTGCGCGATATCGTGGTAGTTCATTTTTGCTGCTTCGGCTAGGGGTGTTTCTCCCTCATGATTCCCAATGTCGGCATTGATATCATCGCTCTGGAGCAAGAGCTGAACAATATCCGTCCACCCTCTGCGGGCGGCCCAACCCAGCGTGGTGAGACCAAAGCTGCCCCGAGCATTTATCTGTGCACCAGTCGAAACGTGTAAGAGGAGACGTACTGCGTTCTTTCGGTCCGTTTCGGCAGCGTAGAGCAGGGCGTTGCTCCCTTTGCCGTCGACGATAGCATCTAGATCAACATGCTTCAGCAAGGCCTGCAATCCCACATTCTCTTCCAAATCTATAGCCGTACGCATGAGATCTCTAAATAGTGGATGGGAAGAAATTGACCCTGTCGTGTTGAGGGAAGCACTGCCATTGATAACAGAATCAATCTTGGTCGCGACTTCGCTCCCACAGGCCAGCATAAGGTGCAACATGCCACAGAACGCTTCTGGACTCTGAGAGCTGGTCTGCGAACTCGCATTGCCATGCATACAGGCGTAGGTTTCCAGATACGATATGGGTGGCGGGAGACTCTTGCCAGGCTGCCAAGTGACGAGATGTTCGACAACCCAGGAGGGCTCATGAAGCGCAACGATGGCCCGGCTGGCTGCAGCAATGATTTTGTCCACAGCAAGCTCCGGCGCCACTCTGCTCTCGAGTAGATACTCAACAGCGTCACGCAGAAAAGCAAATGGGCCCTGGGCATCCAGAAAATGAACTCTAGCCTTTGTAGCCAGCATCCACTCAGTACCCCGCCGCCAATGAGTCCTGCGACCACTACACCAGAGGTCAAAGTGGCTGGGCTCGGAGGCAACCCACGCCAGCTCCTGCTGGGTAGCACGCTGGAAGGCAATGTGGGATACGAGGCTATCGAATCGCCCTATAATACATTAGCTTCCCTTCCCGAGCAGTCTCTCATCACCAGAGCTTGTTGAGATTTGGGACAATGAACGCACAGTATACAAGTCGCAGTTTTAGGAAATCGCGCCTGCGGCTTCCCCAGTAGACGAGCGACAGGATGTTGTCCAAGACTTCGTTGGGGATGTTTTTGATCGACATGGCGTTTGTTGGCTATTATTCAATTCCGTATCGTCTTTTATCAGTGTCTTCAATTGTACACAACTCAGAAGCCTGGGATTGTAATGTGGTAAATCTCAAATCACCCAAGGGGAAAATTCTCGTCGACATCTGTAATTAGTAAAAGGGGTGAGAGACTGGATAGATGATCAGCTCCTCGTGTAATAATAATAATATAATTTCTCTCCCCCCCTGTCATAGTAATTTCTTTCTAGCTCCCCGTTAGGAAGACGGATAATGGCTTCGTCTTCGTCCTGCCCCACTAATGATAGGAATATTTATTTTGAGGCTGTCTGAAGCAGCATGTCATCAATTACAGCAGTATGGCCAGGTCTGTAGCAAAAGGCCGTCTCGCGGCCTAGTGCATATCTATAATCATGGTTGCCTCAGACGGATTACCTTGGGTTGAGGTGAGATTTGGCATTAATCAACGGGCAATCAGCCCCTGTTTTGCCTTATGAGTGGTAACCCTACTACTCTTGTTGGGAGAGAAATCGGTTATCTACAAAACTTCTAAATAAGTGTAAAAACTATTTCACATGAAAGAGACTGTATCACCTCCAGATAGCGTATAGATACTAGAGGTTATAAACTAAGCATCATTAAAAAGAGACAGACGTGCACTGTTTAGTCATGTTCCCAGGTTCCGAGAAGCCATACAGGTGTCAACAATACAATATACATGTCTAGAATGCAAAGACATTTTTCTTTCGACAACGAAAAGGGGGGACACCTGGTGGGATTCAGTGGTTTGGAAATTAAGAATGGCGAACTAACATAATTTACTCAATATTCAAGGGGGATGTAAACGTAGACGCCGAGTAGCGACCGTAATTCAGATTTAAGCTGAAGAAATTCACGGCTACACGGCACCAAATCGAGGCATGCCTAATGCTAGCGAAATGAAATAGCTCATGATGGTCAAGCAGAACACTTTTGGCCATGAGACAGTTCGGGTGACATGGATGGGAGGCGCAGAATGCGAGTCTCAGATGAGGAGACGCCACTGTCTCTCCCACGGTCACCACAGCAGCCAATTTTGACAACACGTAGAGGGGAAGTGTTATCGTGTCGCTGTCTTCGAGTTCTTCCTTTCTTTTGGGGGGGCGTGGATGATCGGCATACACAAGCTTCAACCATATTTTACAAAGGGCATCTACCGCCCCAGATCTTAGAAAAAAGGGGCACACTTCGCACCCACCACATTTCTCCGAACCACCCACCACTTATGGCATGATATGTGGCGTACATCCGATACCACAATTGACTTGCAGACACCTAACAAGGTCAGCCTCATATAGCCAGCTAAATCTTACATGCGCGAAGAGGCTTTCTTAAGCCACAATATCAAATTGGACAGCCGGATCGCATACACATGAAGATTCTGTCCCGAGCCGTGACTAATTTACAGGTTTGATTAGACAGTTGTATCACGCACACACTAAGAGGCTGTCCCAAGCAGCAGTTAATCCATAGGGGTCGATTAGACAAGCGGGCTCTATACACACGAACAGGCTGTCGTGAGCAGTAGCTGACTAGTAGGTCAGTATGGACGGCCAGATCAAAGGTCAAGCAAGAAGCTGTCCTTGTCAGCTAATTAATGTAGCCTGATGGGTTGAAATCTAATGGGCCTTGGTCCCGTAAGTGTGGTATCAGTCTTATGGTATATTTCAAGCCGCAAGTGGTGGGTGTGAAGTGTATCTGTAGAAAAAGTGGCAAAAACGTCCGGTCAACAACGTTCTATCCATTGCCTTGTAACCTTGAATCAATATTTATGATCTTAACTAAGAGCAACTGGGCTTTTTGTAATCAGAAAGCAAATGGAAGATATTTCAAGAAAGGGGAGCATGAGTTACAAGTACAAGTGATGGGGCAAGAACTACAGCGCCATTGTCAATACTCAATTCATATATTATTTAGTACGGTGCCGCGGCCGCTGGTTTAAACGCACCAAGAGATGTTGAAGGCTAGTCGGGGTGTCAAATATACGTCTGATATCGGCCCCTGGTGGGATGAATTATGACTACCTAGATAAGAACCAATCTGGGTTTTACAACCTGGTGAACAAGAGTCTAAACAAATGCTGACATCCGATGGCGTGTCAAATATTGCGAAAATGCACAAATTTACATGTCTGTCCCTGGCGATATCTCCGTTTCTCGCCAATGCCTACCTGTCGCAAAGATGTATGAGCATGACTAACGAGCCACAATGGAAGCAACACCACGTGATGACTGACAAGGAAGCTCTCTGATGGGGATACCTTCTTGATCCAAAAGATTGCTCCATATGTCTTCAATCTTTAGGCGACAGTGGCTGAGTTGTGACAGGACCCGTTCGTTCAAGCTAATCTAGTGGATAAGGTAACGGCTGCAACATCCCGTGCTGGAAGGCCCCAGCTCCAGGCGTACAAGTAAAGTTCTCAGCAGCCCCAAACGCATCTTTGGGAATGATCGGGTCGTCAAGGTAATCGTATCCAATGTTCGGGAAAATGTACCACTGGCATCCCCAAGTAACATAGTCCACGCGTTGGCGGTCAAGTACGGTCTGTTCGATGTCCCACGGATCACCAGGGTGAAAATTGCTCGTGATCAGAGTGTCGTCTTTGTTGTTCAAAAGCTCCATGGCCCGAGGAAAATCCTCGAGCAGGTAACAGGGATGAAAGACACGCTCAAGAAAACTTAGAGTCTTGCCGAAATAGCCGCGGGCGGAAGCTTCATCAAAGGCCGCCTGCAGGGCCGCGGGTCGCTGCATGAATGCCTGGAAGATTTCACTGGCCTGGTCGGGGGCCGGCTCACCGTCAATGACGAGCGAGAAAGAGCCAGGAGGCATGCCGGCCGAGGGCAGGGCCAAAGCCTCTACTAGCCACGTGGAGAGGACACAGGGGATCGATTCATGGAAAAGTTTGCGTGAGCTCTGGCCGTAACATTGCAGAAGATTTCCAAACAGACTAACTTTCCGCTCCACCTTGAGGGAGGGGTTTTCCACGCAGAAAGGTATCAACCCGCGACCATGACCTGGCGCTCTGTGGGCGGATGGTTGGTCCTCTAGGAGCTTGAGTTTTTTGAGTCCAAGGCGCACATTCCTCGGCATTTGTTTGAGGAAACTAATCGCAGCCGCCGCTGCTGAGTAGCGGAATTTGCAATCGCGACTCTTATTCCTAGTGCCAAGGAACCTGTCAGGGAAGCTGAGATTAGGAGGGCGGCCCCAGAATTCAGAGACGTCGGCCAACTTCCGTGCGAGCTTCTTGGCCAAGCGCTTTGAAGGCATAGCCCATTCCTGGTGGTCAAGGAGGAGGACTTCGAAAGGATCAGAAGGTCGACTTCTACGGGTGAGACCATGGTGATCCCACGCTTCATAAATGGCATCAGCCACCCGTGAATGGCCGTGGACCCTAAGAATGGTACGGAGGAGCAGCTGTGATGCATCTTCAACAAGAGATGGCGCCGCGCCCGAGTCAAAAACATACACGGGATTGTGTCGATTTATCACGCTAGGACGAGCGATCATTTGATCCATAATGCGTGTAAATCCCGGGTACCTTTGAGCCACCGTCTCGTAGACCTCTGGGGTTAGGAATATCCCTAAGTGCTCAAATGCCCAGTGATGATGCCTGGTTCTGTCCTTCATAAGGTAGTAGATGCACCATGACGCAAGCTTCAATCTTTCGGGGCAGCCAGTAGAGAAGTGGACGGTATTCAGGGAGAGGGGGAGGCCGCATGTTTCCTGGGCAATGAGTCTCGACGTGGATGTTAGGGCCAGGTCAATGGGATTGCCATCTACAAGCGTCAGCCGTCCCGTGTCGTGATTATAGTGGTAGCCGCCCTCTTGGGTGAAGTACTCTTTGTAGACTTGGACCCGGATCTCCGGGGGCAGGTAGTGGAAGGACATTGCTGGCTGCTTGGCGATCGAATACAAAGAAAGACCGCGTGTGGGCGACGATGAGGGCGACGATGAGGGCGACGATGAGGGCGAAGATGAGGGCGAAGATGAGGGCGACTCAATTAAAGAGAGACGTGGGGTTGGGGAGAGAGAAATGGCCGGGAGAGCGCTGGAATTAAATACTACCAGGGGGATTAGACTCCAAACAGACTTTTTTCTGGCTGTTCGATTCGCTGCTTGATTGGTCCGTCCGCTTTCGGACTGTTGCCTGGGCTAGAGTTGGAGGCGACGACTGGTGGCTACCTTATCTGAGGTAGGTACCTACTTATACCTACCTTAGATACTTACTTAGGTACTGTAGCTGAGTTATGTAGGTGCATGCCTAGGTACCTTGTAGGTATCTAGAGGGGCTGGCCCAAAACCCAAAATCATATTCACCACCCAGTGTGCTGTCAGTTTCACACCATTCACTGTGCCTTTCAGCTCACACCATAACCAAAACTTTACCGTTGACAGCAAATGTTTTGAGCATTCTGGGTCAATTGGTAAGGCTGACAGGAGGCTAACAGTTATTCAACGGGCTGCCAGAAGTCCTATACACTGTCAGGGTTACTGCTGTGGCTGCTCCTTAGATTAAGGGTACGGCGACGGCGACGGCGAGATCAATCAATTGTAATAGCAGCAGACGGCTAGGTCGGCTACACAGTGATTGCTTGTCTTGAGGAAGATATGCAGGTCGGGTCTGCACTAATCACTTGTCTTGACAGAAGACATGCAGATCGGGTCTGCAGTCATCGCTCGTCGCAGCAGAAGACAGGTTGGTCGGGGCTACAGTAATTGTAGGTCAGTAATACAGCAGTTTCTCATCTTGATAAGGGACAGCTAAATCAGGGTCGCAGCGACCACTGCACAGTAATCGCTTGTCTTAACGAGAGACAGCCAGATCAGCTACACAGCGATCGCTTGCCTCAACAACCGGCAGATAGCTAAATGGCCAACACAGCATTCGCGTATTATAGCATTAAATAGACTAGTCAGCTTAGCGTCGCAGTAATCGTTCGTCACAACGGAAGACAGTGAAATCAGCTCCGCTGCGATCGCCAACTCAATAGGAGACAGAGAGGTCAGGTTCCAGCAAACTGATTGTCCCAACACAAGACAGTTCAACCAGGGTCATAGCAATCTCTCGTCCTGAAGGTAGACAGCAAGGCCAGGCCCGTAGAAATCCCCCATCAGAACATGAGATAGTGAGGTCAGGGTCGTTGTAATCTCTCGTCTTGGATATTGACAGATTGTTTGGGGCTCTACAAATTGAGTGTCATTACAAATGACAACCAGTACGGCCGATAACATGAGACCGGATCTAGAACATTTGCCAATTTGCCTGATGCACACGAGTGCTTTTTCAACCTGGACACGTTGCCACTCTCGGCAACGACTTCCAGACCACCCAGAGATCACGTTGCAGAGGGACAATTAGATTGCGGGGTAGCGCATTTATTATTTTTTGGGGGTCTTTGCCGTATGCAAGGGATATCCCAAGATCAGGCCACACGTGACTAGCTCCACACGATTTGTTTTTAACTAAGTTTCGGTCCGTACCCAACCTTCGACTCTATTTTTTTTACTTTTTCATTTACACAAGCCAAGGCAAGGCAACAGCATCTCCAAAAACTCTAAGAAGGGCTTGCCAAGTATATAACTTGGCCATGGGCCCCAAGGGGGGACGCTAGTACTCTGGTGTTAGATAAGACGTAAAGCTTCGCAGGGTACGGGGAAATACCTCATCATCCACAATCAACCACAATACCTCTCCAAGCTAGAACTATCATGTCAGCCATCATGTAAAACAAACCGCATTTTGCAGGTTGTAGGGGAAATACCTCATTATCGCCATCGCCAACCACCTCTCCTTGCGACTACTATTTGTGTCAGACAGGATGTAAAACAAAATACTTTGTAGGTTAGAGGGAATATACCGATAATGGATACCTCCGACGTCGTCATCCCCTGCAGCCAGGGCCCGGTTGTTGCGAGCAACCGGGTCCTCGCGCGCGTGACGGTCGTCATCAATGAGAACCATCAGGATCTCTTTTCGGATATCAATCGTTCAAGCCTGCGATCTGTCACAGGTTTGCTTGCGGCAACGAAGCCGCTCTCTCTCACACAGGCCCAGCCTGTAACAGAACGTTAGTTGCTTCTACCACCGGCCGGCATGAATAGTAACTTACAGTTGCACCTGCTAGGACTGTCACTCTATCTTCTCGCAGCCAGCGATGACGTGGAGATAGACCCGATCATTGATGCACTTACGGAGGACTATAACAACGTTCCTCCAGTGCTCGATTACTACCACGACCCAAGTTACCATATGTGGTTCCAGCAGGTGATGTGCTGGGTTGAGTCGATCCGGGCCGAGGCGGCCCTTTGAGCTGCGTAAAGAGGTAAGAGGTTAGCGTGTAATTGAAGTCGACAGTTGTGCATGAAGATGAACTTACTTCAATGTCTGTTTTGGTTAGTGATGTCGGGCTGTTTTCGTGTTGCTACCATTAGTCTTCGTAGGATAAACAAAATCGAGAAAAGGGGATTTACCGGAAGAGAATCGAATCGAATCGAATTGAATTGTCGAAAAGTTTGTCGGATGGAAAAGTTAAATTGAATAAGGTTGATCTAACTGGGATTAGCCCTACATGGCGCTCAGGAAAGCCAGCAAAGAACATACACGACGGCGTCCGGAATGCGGCAGGTTAGTCAATCCAATGCCACCATAGATTGTTTGAAGAAAATTGCGATAGCCAACTAAGTGTTAGTTCGTAAGACGAGGTATCGATGAGTCCGAATGGCCAATTACTTACTCGCAAAGTTGCCACATGCCAATAAAGACCAAACATGGTTCACACAGTGGGTTCGACACCAGCCGTCAACGGATTTCCGGGCTGAATAGCAGCCACAAGACAGGCTCTTGACGGCGGTGTCGTGGCTTAGGAGACCATCAACTCCTCCCTCGGCCAGGCAAACTGATCCAGGCCGAAGTTGAGGATGGCCCATCGCGACGCCACTTTGGCATCGGATGTTAGAAGCTTTTTGAGCCTTAACTCCTTGACCTCTGCGACCAACTTACGCCGCTTTTCGGTCAATCGAGGGCAACGCATGAACAAATGTTCAATTGTATGCGGGCCATTCCTGCACGGACAGAGATCGGAATCAGAGTACTGTTGTGCGGTCAATGTCAGTGGGGTTTGGCTTTGGTCCAGGGGACATGCACGTACCGTTTTCGTCCTCGAATTCATCTTGTTTAGCCAACGGTTCAGGCCGATGGTTTCTGTCCGGCATTGCACCAACATCGTCGACTCAGCTCGGCTGAGATGTCGGTAATAGGAGAGGCTTTGAGGGCCCCAACTTTCTAGGTAGGCCGCGGGAACTTTATCCCGGTTGTTCGACTTCTTCTTCACATAAGTATCCCATTCCTCAGCGCACTTGTCCGCGCATCGGGCCGTGGTGTGTGCTTTTATCAACTTCACCACCGCCGGGATGCTACCGGAATGTTTGGTTTGGCCCAACACTTCTTCACCATCCTTGTTATCCTTGTTTTGTTTGGTGAACTGTGCCTTGACCGTCAACAGCTCGCGCTTGGCTTCGCTGTAAAGCAAGGTGAATGGGTTTTGAAGTTTACGTTGATCTTTGCCCATGGGGTTAAGGTTCCCCTGTTGGGCTTGCTCCAGCGCGGCTAAGTACGCTGATCCAACGTTCTTCATCCTATATGTGAGCGCGATTCGGCCCAAATAATGCTCCATGCTTTCGACATGAAGCTCTTTGCGCAGGACCATCCGGTCCGTCATTTTATAAGCGCCTGCCACTTTGACAAGCGAGTCGTTCTGCATCACCTCAAGTTTGTTTAACCACGTCTGGGGCAGGCCGAGGTCATGCCTGTTGTGCCGTGGTATGAACCAGGCCGGCGAAGCGTAGCCAACGATCGACCGGATTTTGGAGACGTGGAGCTGCCGCATGCGGATCAACGTTGGCCCCCACATCGAGCCGGAGATTCTGGTATGGTAGCCTAAGATCTTGGAGACCTCCGCCTTCAGCTACATGCGGCAACATGTCTAGTCAGCATTCGGTGCAACAGAATTGAGGCTGCCGCCGCCACGGACATTTGACTTACTTCATTGATGTGTTTATCCCACTTCATGTGTCGGTCATACTTGACGCCAAGGATTCTTAATTCTTCCTTGACGACATCACTCTTCAAGCCTGAGATCTTGGGCACGGGTTGCGTCTCCGGTTTCCTCGGCTTGCGCCGCTGGAAGTGCATTAACGCGTACTTGTCGGGGCCAAATTTCACGCCACGAGGGGTAGCCCACTCCATGAGGCGTTCATGGAGCTCCGTCAGGATGGCGCAGTTTAGTTCGAAAGAGGGTGAGGAGACGAGGAAATTGGTATCGTCGACGTAGGACATTACGGAGAAGATGCACTTCGCCTCTCGATTGCCCCTCCTCCTTCTCACTTTCTTTCCCTGTCCGGTCTTGAGCTTGTAGTTGTCGAAGGTTTCCAGAATAGGGGCTGCGAACAGGATGAAGAGGATCGGGGACAGGGGGCTCCCCTGGGGGATGCCAATGTTGACCCAGTACTTTTCCGAGCGGTAACCTGGCATGAGCAACTCCGTACTTCGTTCGGAGAGAAAACACCAGACGAACCTGACAAGCCAGTCGGGGAAGCCCTTGTCCACCAGCCGCTGGAGGAGCTCTTCTCGGCGCACATGGTCATATGCCCCGGATATGTCCAGCGCCATGAGACTTGTATGATCAGCGTTTCCCCCAGCGGGCCTTTGCCAACTCCGATACACCCAGTTGGTGATGTACTCCAGCGCATGAGTCGTGCTCTTCCCCGGGCTCCCGAATTGAAGCAGAGGGCACAGGCGGGGGTTGCTCATGAGCAGCTCCTTGATTCTATTGGCAACGAGTTTCTCCAGCATTTTGCCAAGACAGGATAGAAGGGCCACTGGACGCCAACTCTTCGCCTTTTGGTAGGTGTCTTTGCCAGCCTTGGGCAACACCACGGTGAGCGCGTGGCGAAATGCTTTGGGGTGATAGTCCAAATTAAGGCAGCCTTGGAAAAAGTGAATCAAGTATGGCAGGATAACTGGCAGCGCGAGCTTGAACGCTTCATTGGCCATCTGGTCGGGGCCCTCGGCCTTCCGATTGGGCAGTTGTTTGATCAGATCTGTGACTTCACCCGGGCGCAACTCGTTTGATATCGCAAGTTTCGAAGGGTTATCGGGTGGCAGTTGAGGCATCCTAAGCTCCGGGGGCGCCTCTCCGCCTTTGCTGGTGTGGGGCCACATTGTTTGCATGAAGTGAAGTGCCTTTGCCTCGTTGGTTGTGTGCCGCACCCCTTGATCCGAACAAAGCGTGGGCATATGCGGCATAGCTTTGGGCTGTGCCCACGCCTTGGAGAGCTTAGACCACTGAAAGATCTTTTGCCTGCCTCTCTCGACGCGCTCTGCTTCTGTGGCGATGAACCGCCGCCATTCAGTTCTTCGTTGTCGACGGTCTTTCTTCTGTGATCGCCATTTAAAGAATTTTCTAAACCTCGGATTGGGGCCCGCCTTCAGCTTTTCGAGCACACTCTCCCTCGTGATGGCAAACTTGTCATTGCTGGCACGGGCTGGCTTCGATCTGCGTACTGCCTGTTGTCGAATGGGGACGTCTTGCGCCATAGCAGCCGCCAGCGCGCCCGTCATTCGCCCAAGATAGCCGTCGGCCTCAGAGGTCGAACCGAGGCGATCGAATCCAATGGCCGACGTTGTCTGCTTAAGTGTGGACACAAAGGTCTTTCCCTTGACCTCGTTCCAGGAATACCGAGCCTTGACCTCCCTATTCGGTCCCATCTTCAGCCTCGTGAGCACCGGACGATGGTCACTGGTAAACGCAGCGAGGTCATCGATAACTTGACAACTCTTGACCAGGGAGGCAATGTTGCTGCTAACAAAAGTCAAGTCAATCGTGGAGCAGTACTTGTCTTTGGAACTTGACCGTGAGTACGTAACTGCGCCGCGTGGGGTCTGACAGGTCATCTTATAGGCGTCTGCGAGTTCATGCAAATCTCTCGCCTGCTCCTCCACGATAGGAAGATCGTCGCCTCCCCACGTGGGATGGTGCAGATTGAAATCCCCCAACAGAATATCTGAGCGACAGATTTCGCAATAGCTGAAAAGCTGGTTCATATCCAGTTGTTTGTGTTGATTGTACACATTGTGGATCTTGACGGCCCCCGACGTCGTGTTAAGGAATAATGTCGCAACTTGACCTTTGAACTTCTTTGTGTGGTAGGTGACACCCCAATCTGCCAGTGGTATTGACTCATGCACATAAAACGCCACTCGATCAAGCCGCCACTTGCTACGTAGTTTAGCCTTGCCCTTCACCACTTGCGTCTTAACCACGTCGGGATTGTCGTCTTCTGTCAGAGGGCGACTCGTGTGATAATGCAGATGGTACCCAGGCATCGGCACAAATGGGAAGCCTTTTGGGATGTCCTGGGCGGCGATGATGTGTGGTTGGGGTTCAGACAGCTCCTCAGAAAGAGACTGTTTGAGTTCATAAAGTCGTTTGATGGAGTCCTTCAGGTTGAGCTGAAGGATGTCGAGAGTTTTGTTGCCCAGACGGACAGTCCTTCTGCGACCTTGTGGAGCAGGATTTCTAGGTGAGCGGAACACCTAGGGAGAGTCAGATGGGATATAGGAGAACGGGAACAGAAAAATCACCTTGGAGCTCCTCAATGTTGACCTTCGCGCCATTTTCGCGAAAATGTGCTAATGGAAAGAAAGAAGTTTAGATGAACACGGTCACTGATATCAAAATCATCTAGTCAAGGTGCGGTAGCAATACTTACGTGACTTGCAATTCAAAGACCAGCGTGTGGCAAGACGGCACTTTGCATGTAAGGGAAGCCTCAGGACCACTCGGTTTGGGTCCCGAAGCCTCCCCTACATGCAAGGAGCACTATACAAAGTATGAACAGTAGACAGAAAAGATAATAGACAAGTCGGAAAAGATAAACGATTGATCAGACAAAAGTTAACTGGTGCAATATGGATTGGCGTTGCACAAACATGGTGGGTGTGGCAGCACTTTATACTTCGTGTGGCCAGTGACTTGTTAGCCGCTTCAACTATTACCTGAACATGTTCCTCTTGTTCGGACATCTGTGGAAAGATGCCAGGGTTGTTGCAGAGTTTGAGGTACAATGAACCCTGGCCTCACGACAACGGCCTCCGGTCTTGCTAGTAGGACATCATTCCTGACCGCTGGATTATTTTAGAAGCCCCTGACGCCCCTTGGCGACCCATGTTAGGGAACTCAGCCCATCATCGTGCAGGTAGATATTGTTAAAATGAAGATTGGCGTAAGAAAAGTTCATTCCAAGTGTCACTGTCGATCGTTGGAGCGCGAAACCACTTGCCTCCTGCTTTTTATTCGTCGCAATATGGTCACTGGTGGGCTGATATGATGATCTGAATATCCTGCACGCTCCTAGCGTTGCAGTAAGCATCTTGTCGTTGTCCGACTGTCCATGAGTACTCACTGTCCATACTTCGCTTCAACTATCCCTGCGGTCTAACCCTCCCCCCACCGCAATTTGCAATCAACCCTGAATATGTAATATCAGCGGTGCGTTGAGGCTAGGGCTGCCCTGCCTTAGAGGTGTAAGTGACCAAGCAAAGCTCGCCACACCTCGAACACGCTACGGTCCAAGCTGTATGAGGCCTGGGCGAGCTTTGCCCCCAGGAGTTGCTGACCGTCAAGTTCCGGTGTTCCCTCGATGTTACCACTAGCAGTAAGTGAGAGAGCTATGCAGTTATGCGGCAGCTGCTGAAATGTTACCACTAACACCCACTCCTTGCTCTTGCATAAATAGTCCAGAAGTGGCCGGCCAGAATGCGAAGTGGCACTCTTCTCTTGTTAACTCATCTGTCGTGGAACTCGGGTTGGTTGTTTTTTTTTTTTTTTTGGGGTATTTTTGCCGTACGCAAACTCGATTTCATAATGGGTAACATGCAGAGCGTGTTGTCTACTTTTGTTGCGCTCTTTGCTGGCCGTTCAGTCACTCTCCATGTGGATGTTAGCAGACGCGGCGTCAAAATTGGACAAGTTCAGTCTACCGCCTTGTCGGAAGACAAGACACAAGTCGGACAATGCATCGGGATCCTTCGGTACCTCGTCTGTACGGGTGCGGATATGGAGAAGATAAATAGGACCTCGCCCTCGCAGATTGTGGGGATACTGCACAACAAAGGCGATCACTGGAAGTGCCTCCGTGGTGCGCGATTAAAGAACAACATCTTAGAGCTCTATTTGAATTCTGATGATGACGAGGACACGGCAAGGCAACATGGACATGAGATCGCAGAATGCTTTGCCTTTTCATCAACATGTCGGCTCTTGGCGCCTGAATATCTGCTTGAGGTCCTAGGTATGAAGCCAAAGGACGCCCCCTCTCTCAAGGATCTTCCAGGCCAATTTACCTTGGAAAACCATAAAGTTGCCAAGGATGCCTTTATAAAAAATGGGAGGGTCATCATTGGCTTCACATCGCCGGAAGTTGCTTGTCAAGTGAGCGAAGGGGCATCCATCTTTATATACCATCAAAGGTATTTTGTCAAGTACGTGAAGTCACCCCACCACGAATCAAAGGTTTTGCACTGATGACCTTAACTCCATGATCAGGCCGTTTGACCGAAGAATGGTGCCATATTTTTGTCCTCATTGTGCAGCTCCAACGCATCGCAGCGAAAAGGGATGCCCGCTTCAATGTGGAAAATGTGCTGAACCACACGCGACCACAGACTGCGGAGTTGTGAGTGCCACGGGTCAAGCTCACGGCCCGGGCTTTAAATGTGCGAACTGTTCGCAGGACCACGCGGTGTGGTCAGGGAGGTGCAATAGTGTGGCCACTAAGGACATGAGGAAAGCCTGTAAGTGGTGGACGCAGAGAAGCCTTTGGTGGAAATTGCGGAAACCGGATGGTAGTGAACAGGATACACAGGAAATTTCGGGCGATGAAGGAGCTGATGGCGATGAAGGAGGTGATGGAGGTGGTGGAGGTGATGGCGGTGAAGGGGGTGATGGGGGTGAGGGAGGTAGTCCCTGCAAACGAGGTGGAACCAAGAGAGGGCGTCCAAGAGGATCCGGACGGGCTAGTCAAGGAAGGGCTGCTCGGGGAGGTGACGGCGATGAAGGACGTGACGGCGGTGAAGGAGGTAGTAACTGTCAACGAGGTGGAGCCAAGAGAGGGCGTCCAAGAGGATCCGCACGGGCTATCCAAGGAAGGGCTACTCGAGGAGGTGGTGGTCGAGGAGGAGGTGGTCGAGGAGGAGGTGGTCGAGGAGGAGGTGGTCGAGGAGGAGGTGGTCGAGGAGGTCGAGGAGGGGGTGGTCGAGGAGCCGCTGGTCGAGGAGGGGTAGTTCAAAGAAGAGAAAACCCGGGTCAGAGAAACAACGGCACCCTCAATGCATTTGTCACAAGGGAGGACAAAGCCCCGAATCAGAAAAAGACCGGCCCCCTCGATCAATTTCTTACGAGGAACAACAGAGCTCCAAATCAACTTCCCAGGAGCTCTTCGGGTCCAGCTTAGATCAGATAGCCCGAGATTCATGTTCCCTTCTAAGCCGGCATAGCCAAATTCCCACGTTTGAAAAATGAAACGTCTATCTTGTTTCTCACATTGCCCAGGATATGACACCGCAAGATCAAGCTGCACATGATATTGAATGACAGGGGATCTTCCCAACGCAAGCTATGACCGGTGCCCAACCCTATACACGTTACAGTCTGAAATTCCCTCAAATATTCAGCGATGACCAGCCAAAATTTCCATAGCCACTCGAAAATCGAACTTCCACGGGCCCAGGAGAGTGTTCTGATTCAAAAACACTACATGTACCCTGGCCATGTCTGCCTGCTATTTCCCTCACGTGAGATCAACAGTGAGGAGACGACTTGATTATTAACAAGGGGCATCTCTCATGTGCACCGTTGATTGACATCGCACAACTCCAATCTTCCACTCTCCCCATCGAGCCATACAACCGTGGAACCGCGCTGCTCCCACATTACTACTTCCAACTGGCGTGCCGTAGATTAGAACAAAATGGCATCTCGAAGAAGTTCCAGGCTTCGGATTCGACAGGAAATTGAACCGGCTGATCCGATGCCAGCTCGAGACCTCAGGGTTCATCCAACGGAGCGCAAAGCTTCAGCATCCAAAGTAGACGCCTTGTTTCCCCCGCCCAAGGCAAAGCAAGCCAAAGCTCCAGGTCCCAAGGCCCAGGCTGGCAGTAGGCCAAGGAACACCAGTGATTCGGCAGTTCAGCCCGTCCCCTCGGCCCTTCCACAGGAAATAATCGACCTGATCCTGGACCAGGTACGCTTCCTCGTCCGCAACACCTCGACAGACTGGCTCACATTCTGTGTAATAGATAACTGATCCATCTATCATTGGCAAAATGGCTCGCACCTGCAAGAAGTATTACTCCATCATGATGCCCCGCTTGCACCAACGTGTCGCCGTCATCGCCGGGTTTCGCGTAGACATCCAGAAGCTTATCCAGTCCATTGAACCCTACCTCTCCAGGTCGCAATTGAGGATCTTGAGGAAGGAGAAGGGTAAATACAGTTGCCGGCAAAAAAAGTTTTCCCCTTATCTTGCCGAGCACCAAGTGCCTCCGTGTGCCTCCTTTGTTCGACAAATGATCGTCGGCGAGCGCGATCCCGACCGCAAGCACGAGCACATTATTCACGCTTACCTCAATGAGGCCCTCAAGAATCTGAGAAATCTACAGATTGTAGAAACGATGCCAATGACCAAGTGAGCCACCTACCCACCCAAACCCTCCATTGAATGAACCCAAATTCTAATGTGGTTTCTAGGTCGATTGCCCAGAACCTAGCGATAATGGAGTATCTACAGGCTCTGAGCATCGACTTGAGCAGGCTCGATTATGGTGCTAGGCCCTTTCTCAGGAAAATAAAGAATCTGAAGCATCTCAGCGTGAAAGACGATTCCTCCTACCTCCTAGACAACTTCAGCGAGCCTGATCTCATCCCTCAAATAATCGTCAACTCAAGAGCCACACTCCGCAGCTTGATTTTTATCAAAGGACGCTCTGACGGCATGCCTGCACCAACGACGCCCGCAACAGGCCATGAATTCCCTAGCCTCAAGTCTCTATCCTTCGGAAGAACCGAATCCGATAACGCCTTCTCCAAGTGGTTGCAACGTTCGATCGATTTCATGCGCCTGCGTGAGCTGTACCACGAATCCCTGGGCGATGATCAAGCCTCGTTCTTCGACCATCTTGCCACTCTGGCCGCTTCCAAGGCCTCTTCGGAAATAGCCCTCCGAACCTTCTTTGTGGATCTATCAAGCAAATTCACTCGCATGCCCCAGTCAAATCAATTGCGCATCGATGCTCAGATCCGCTTCCTCTCCTCGTTTGACACACTGACCTCCCTGGAGCTGTATGCCTACAACCAACCCTGGACCAATGCCCCAAGCGGCATCCCCAAGACCCTTCTGGACGCGACCCTGAAGCATAAAAGCCTCAAGAGTTTCAAAATATCTTATGTTGACATTGATTGTGGTTTCAGCAACATTCTCTATATCTCTGCAACAAATCTCACCACTATTCTAGACGGATTGCCTCTGCTGGAAGAAATTCAATTTGCGCCAGAAAGGGATGAGCTTGTAAATTAACCCTGGAGACGTACCGAGCGAAGAAGGGATCGTTGAAGAAAGACAGCTAATCTTTGAAACAGGACGAAATCGGGCGCGCCTTCGTTCGTGGTGCCAACTTGAAATCCATCACCTACTTCCCGGTTGGCTCACTGGGACTTCTTAACGTGGAATCGTTAAGTGAGGAGGCTTTGAAGAGCATTTTACGGGCTTCCCTGTCCCACAATGCAGATGCCAGCAACAGCGAGGGGAAGTTCGTTTGGGAGGACCACACTAAGCTCCGCGAGATCTCGGTAAACCTCAAAGCATGGCAGGTCAGTTCGAATTTCGTCGGCAGGGCTCCCGGGGGCGCCAAGAAGCCAAGGATGTTCACAAGGGCGGGCCGGGGAGTCATGTGTCGTGACGTGTCCTGCACAGAGGCGATCGAGATCAACCGTGTCTTTGATCCTAGGTACCGGTGGGTTGAGAAAGTAGCGAGAGACATGCATTGAGGTCGCGCTGCTGATGGTTCAGTCCGTCAGGCCGGCGAGGAAAAAGGCATCTGTAGCCTATAAGATCATAATCGCCAACCATGACGCCATGCTATACCAAATCTATCGAGCTTCTAGCAACATTACCTGACTGTAGTATGTAGTCTCTGAAACCTTTCTAGTAAGGATGAAGAGTAGTGAAAAAGGATATTGAATAATCTGACAAACAGCGCTATGGCGTTCAGTAATGTACCTTAACTTTTTCTGAAGACACACCCACGGGAGCTTTACCATAACTCAAGTATCAGAGGGGTATAGAGGTCAGTGCTCGGTCAGACGATCCCTTTCCGAGATGTGAGAAGATAGTCATATCCTTGAGATTGGTAGACCGGCTTTGTTCGATCAAGGGTGCAGACTCTTCCTATTCGGATAAAAAGGGTACGACATTACGTTAAAGACTTGTAGTATTTCTTCTGAAATGAAGCAGGCTCCTTCTTAACCTCATCTCATAGCATGTTGGAATGATGGAGTTCTAGTTTTTTCTTCTCTTTACAAGACTTGACATTAGCCTTACAAGATATATTCCCCCCCCCGATAACGATCTTGGTAGCCAGGTATAACATTCGCTACCTCATCCAATATTCTATGTAGCTGACCAGCCGATGGCTTATCAGTTTGCCTATAAATCTTCTCTAGCAGTCCTTGGTATTCGAATCCCATCGGCCCTTTCAAACTCGGGTTCCCTTCTTAGGGAGGGCTCATTGAAGACGGAAGCGTGGCTTTCCAAATTTCCTCTTGACTTGGCATTCCCTCTTGACTTGGCATTCCCTCTTGACTCTCAGTGTTTCGGATTAGGTATACCGCCGAGGCTGATATGACATCTCTCACCCTGAAGCCTGTGTTCTATAGGGCTGTCCTCCACAAGCGTGCGCTTGTACGGTCCAGCAACAAAGTGCTGGTGTGCCAAAGCCTATCAGACTCTCCTATGATTACAGGCTAGTTGCTCGGTCAGGTTTTTGGGGCCAAGCGATAATGACACGGTATCCGGATCACCACCAACCGACCTAAGGCCCCATGCCCTTATGCTATTTCTTTCTTTTCTTGCGTAATCTGTAGACTCTGCGCCCAAGGAACCGTAGTCTCACACCACACAATCCATGTTACAACGGCAAAAAAAATCACCCATCGACTTGCCTGATCCCAAGTCACCCCCAAAGCGAAGATCTAGTGTCAAGTCTTAGCATTCCCATCCTTACTCTCCCTCATCATCTCTTCCCTTGAAACAGCCTTCGTATCTATACACAGCGCATTCAAAATGGCATCAAGCCACGGGAGGCGACTTAGTTCTGGAATCCAAGGCCGAACAAATACACCAGCAACAGACTTGTACTTTAGTCCTTTCTGGTTTCTCCAGCCATCGTTAGAATAGTCCCCATTATGCCGGCCTAGCCTTTAATCTAATGCAGTTCAAAAACCTGCAAAAATCATTCAATCAACATTCCAACTCACATAATTGTAAACTTCCAATTTTTTAATGTTTCACTTCTTCTTCTTTCTTACTCTAAAATCAGTGTGTGATAGTTGCTAATTCTATCACAGCTTTTGGGGGGTTACTAGAGTCCTACCTCCTTACACAGATCCTTGAAGACGGAGATTTCAAGGCCTCCTGATCGCATCTATTATCGTACTGGGTCCTAATTGTCTTTTACCCCATGGCCATTTAATGCGGCTATCAACCCCATTGATGAGCTGACATTCCCCACCATAATCTGCTTCATCGGTTCCCTCTGTGGCAGACGACCTTGAACCATTATTCAATGCCCGTAGACTCACCGCCACATTCCCAGCATCGAGAGCACAATAATAAGGTTTGTGGCATCATTCCCGGTGTCCAATCATACCCTGCCGTGCCATCGGAATGCGAGTCATCGAGCTTATATGGCGTTTGTCGGTGGCCTTCGGGCTGGCTAACGGCTCTCGGACTAGGACCGACAACTGCTCAGCAAATCACGGTAGCTGGCCCGGGATCACAGCATAAGCGTGCTGACAACCCTCCCGGCGGCACTGGAGGATGGCGGGAGAAGCATATATCGTCTTGGAGTGGTCGAATGGCGGCTCCAGACCAATCGGGGCGTGAGAACAAAGAAAGTCGATGTAACGGCAAGGGGACTCGCATCAAGGGGGATTATTCTGAGCCGTCCCGATGGCACAGCCGCAAGGCAATAAACACAGTATATAACCAGTCACATGCCCCCCCACTTGGAATTCCATCATCCCTCATCAATCCAACACCATCGCACATCGCCGGCATCGGCATCTGCAACCATGGCTCTCCAGGACTTGCCCGCCGAGCTGCTTCACGCCGTCTCAGCCCATGTCTCGGACGAGGCAGACCTCAGCGCCCTGAGCCGGACCTGCGTGCGCCTGTTCCACACGCTGGTGGCCGAGCTGTACCGCCGCAACCATGCCGGTCCCAAGCCGTCGGCCCTGACCTGGGCCATCAACAGCGGCAACATGGGCACGATCCAGCGGGCGACTGGCTGCGGCGTCGACATCGTGAAGCTCCGCCACATCACCAGCGCGGCCAGCATGGGGGACAAGGATGTGTTCGACACCCTCTGGGCATGCAAGCTCCAGCACGGGGGCTTCGGCTCGCTGCTGGTCGACGAGGACAGCAGGGAACCACTCTACGCGGCCGTGAACGCGGGCAACAAGCAGATAGTCAGCGTCCTCGTGGAGACGGGCATGGTAGACAGCCAAGTCCAGTCTTCCAACCAGAACGTCCCTCTCTTCATTGCCGCCTTCAACGGGAGCCATGAAGTAGTCAGCCTGCTTCTGGACCACGGCGCCCCTCCCATGTCTCATTTCCACATGGTCCACCCCCTAGCTGCTGCTGTCAAGCCTCGAGGCGACTGGTGGGTGTCGAAGCAGTTCTGGGGCCGGAGGCTCAGGAAGAACCCCGATACTGTTGGCGACACCGTCCGCGTCCTTCTCGAGAGCGGCGTGGACGTCAATCTCTCCGGCTTCTACGATGGCGACAGTGCCATCCATATAGCTGCCCATGCTGGCTACTGCGATGTGGTCGAGCAGCTTGTCGCCCACGGAGCATATATCGACTCGCGAAACACCTTGACGGACAACACACCCCTTCACATTGCGACGCAGAGACTGGGGACGCTCGATATGGTCCAGACTCTTGTCAAGTTGGGGGCAAGCGTAAACGCAATCAATCGGACTGGCCAGACGCCCCTCGCCTTGACAAGAGACACCCGCGAGCCGAGAAGAATAGCCGAGTTCCTCCTCGACAATGGAGCCCAGATGACCATTGACTACGAGAACAACACGCCTCTCCATCGGTTGAGGAACATTGGCTCGCTCGAGCAGAGTGCGGACACCTCGGCAGGCTTGCTCGACGCGCTGCTCAAACGAGGAGCCGACATCAACGCCCAGAACAAGCAGGGCAAGACTCCCCTCCACTGCGTCGCCGAGACGGCCGGAAACTCCCATCTCATCAGGATCCTGGTCAACCGGGGTGCCTCCCTCAGCATCAGAGACGGCAGCGGCGTCACGCCCCTTGGGTACGCGGCCGCCCACTGCCCCCAGCAGATCATAGAGTTCCTGATCGAGAAGGGCTCCGACCCCAACTCGAGGACAAAGGACGGCCTGCCGCTGCTCCAGCTCGCCGTCGGGCGCGAGTCTGCCACGCTCATCGACCTGCTCCTCCGGTGCGGCGCCGACGTCAGGGCCCCCAACCGCCACGGACGGGGAGCTCTGCATTACGCGGCGCTGATCGGCAAGATTGAGATGATTGACGTCTTCCTCCGCCACGGGGTCTCCATCGACGCGCACGACGCGCACGGGCTCACGCCGCTCATGTGCGCCATCGAGGGCGTCACGAGCACCAACTTCGACTTCCTCCTCGAGAAGGGGGCCAGCGTGCACAAGAGGGACAACACGATGCAGACGGCCCTGCACAAGGCGGCCAAGCACGGCAAGGTGAAGGCAGCCACGGCCCTGCTCAAGCTCGGGGCCGATATCAACGCGGTCGACGACGATAATCAGACTCCGCTGTACATGGCCTCTGTATATCTGCGGCCGAAGATGGTAGAGGTTCTTTGCAAGCATGGCGCTGACCCTACCATCACCGATTGTAGAGGGAGGACGGCGATGGCAGTTGCCAACAGCGAGATTTTCAGTCTTTTCGACGAGCTTGAGAGCCATAATACTGGTGGGACTTGACAGGTTTTGGTGGGGGGGAGATGCGAAGTTAGGTTGAGGTTCAGGATGAGAGAATACTCCTGAGTCCTGTGGATGAATTATAAATGTGTCACTATCAGCATGCCCAAGATCAAATAATTATGTTTCTAAATAATGCTCTTTCAGTCATAATCATTAATATCTTTCCGTCATCCAACACCCAAACCCCCGCTAAAGTCTATCGTAAATAATGATAATATACAACCTGTGAGAACTCTCTCGTACCGCCAACATGAAACCCTTCCAGCCAACCAAGCCGACCAAACATACCAACTTTTGTTCATATTAATACATTAACCCCATGACAACATCCTGTTTACCCTCCCATCGGCTCTGCTCATACTCATTCATCTTGACGCGGTGATACTCCTTCACCTCCCCCAAGTACCCCTTGTGCCCGAGGCGAAGACAAGCCTGGAGCTCCGCCTCTGTCCGGATAGAGCAATGGCAGGCATTTGGCGTCCCGCCAAACCGAGCCCGCTCCCCCGGGCTGGGAAACATGATGCTCAGACGCTTCATGTTATGCCAGGCGTTGCTGCTCTTCCTCGACGCCGGGTTGTTGACCGCCAGCCGCGCCAGGTTCCAGTCCGCGTCGGTGTCGCCGCTCGAGGTTCCCATCCCTGGCTGGGGCGCGGCGGCCTCGTACCGGTAGGCCTCGAGGCTCAGGGCGCTCCTGCGCTCCACGGCCGCGATCGGGCATGAGAATCCGTCGGTCCCCGCCTGTCGGCAGTTGCATCTCTCCGGGTTGATCAGGGTCTCGCTGTCGACGTTGATGGTGACGATTGCCTTCTTCCGGGTTGATTCGTTGTGGGTGAAGAGCACCAGCATGGGTTTCGGAGGGCACTGGTGGAGGGTGCCGGTTGACCAGGGCCCCGTGGCGATGGTAGTGGTATGCTCGCTGCTCGATGATCCGTTGCTAGTTGTTGCGAGGGACACAGCGCTCGAGATACTGGCTGATCGGTCTGTTGGAGGTCTAACGTGTTGCATACCAAAATGGCTGGGGAGACTATTACGGAAAGGAGAGGTCGGATGGCTACTATATGTTGTGGGATGACTATTGTGTGTCGATGTCGTGTTCTGACGATCTTGGGTTCTCGTGCGTCCGGGCGATCTGTCCAAAGGATCTGGAGGAGAGCTCGCGGAACCCCAGGGACTGGACATGACTGATCCGTGTCTTGAGGCACTCGTCTGAGAATTGGCCGGGTTGGGCGAGTAGATGGAAGACATGGCGTCGGGACTGCTGGATAAGGGGGCAGATCCGAACATTCTGCTGGTCCGGGGACTACTGGAGGGGATCGGGATGGCTCCGGAGGGTGACGACATGGCCGTTGGGGACCGGGAAGGGCCTGGGTCCGAGTGTGTGTCACTTGCTGTGATGAGCGACGTGTCAAGAGCTTCGGGGACCCAGAGCTGTAGACATGCTCGCTCGACGATTGATTGCCTCGTGCCAGCGATGACAAAGCTCACCATGACGTTGTTTTGCGTCCAGTGATCCCATACCTTGAATCCCGTGACAGCCCTTTGGAATTGAAGTACATCCTTCATCCGGTTGAAGGATAGCTTGGCGATCCGCTCGTCAGTCTTGAGCAAAAGTTCCGGAACAAGAATATTGTTTCGAAGCATGGCGTAAAGAGGGTTGATCAAGGTGTTGGAAATCTCAAAGTCAATTGTCTCTTCTGCTCAACAGCATCAGTACCATGGACAGCAGACGGACCCTCATTCACTTTGACTTACTCTCTTGACGAGCTCGCTCCCCGTTTGTTTCTTGCTCTCCGCTAACCTCAGCCCTGAATCGCTTGCCGTTAGAACCCATCCGGCGGTTGAGAATTACCTGCCGTCTCGCCGATTGCGTTCCTTGCAAAGGTCTGTTCGAAGTTAGTATCAAGACATGGTGAGAGTAGGGAAGCTTTGGGGTTGACACATACAATTTCAGCATCCTTTCCATCATCTCGTCCGGCGTAATGATGTCCAGTAGATTTGCCACTGGCTTCGGCGGCCAGATTGACAGCATTGCCCTCGGCAGCTGTGGGGGAATCGGAGGCGGAACAAGCTCTTGCTGGTCGAACCGACTGCATTGCTGCGACAAATCCTACAGAAAGGGTCAGCAGCCGTCATTCATTGATCTACCGGATACAACGCACCTCTTGAAGCTTGTTGATGTACCCTGGCCAGTGAGACTCGGGCGAAAAGGCCTGGCTTGACGAGCAGATTTCAATCTTCTCGAAAAGCCACACACACTTGAGCAGATTTATATAATGATCGACGGGCGGTCGGCGGTCCGTGACGAGCATCCCGCCCCTGAAGCTCACTGTGGATCGGTTGTAGTTGAGTATAAATGCGTCGGATAGCTCTTGCATGCCGAATGAAGCCTCTGGGCCGTCATCCAGGCTTTCGGTCGCGGTGATGAGGCGGAACTGCTCGGCAAGCTGGTCGGGTACTTGGAGGAGCCGCACCTCCCTCGTGTCCCGCTGGTTGAGCTCGGTGTCGAGGTCTGGTACGAGGACACCCATCAGTTGATGGACTTGGGTGCGGAGGGCAAAGATCTGGTTCGTAATGTCGCGGTGGATAGCGTGGAGGTCATCTCTAATTCGGGAAAGGAGATCACTGTCGTTGATCACACGGTCAGTCAAGCTATGGTTGGGAAAAGGGAACAGCGCCGTGACATTTTCCCACGTACATCTCAAATGGCTTAAGGACGAGCTGGATCTTGGAGTTGTGCATCAAGATGCGTTGGCGCAAGCGATCTGCCACGGGCTGGACCAAGATATTCCACTCGATGTTGCGAAGGGGATTTCTCGCCCCCTCGTACCGCCGATTGTCGTCCAGTAGTTCGCGACATTCCCTCAGCGTGGTCTCGTAGTCGCCGACGATCTCTCTGAGCGATACAGGGTCATATCGGACCAAGGCTCGGTGGCCGCCTTGGCTCTGCAGGGACGCATTTGCTGTGTTGATGACTTGGTCGAGGATGCTCAGGCTATGTGCCAGTCCCCGTATGTCACTCCCGAACTCAGCATAGTTGCGTGCTAAGAAATGCAATCAGCAGTCAGTTTGTATGTCCTTGATTGAATTTAACATCAACAACGTGGATCCTTGCATGCGACAGAAGGGAATCTGCCTTGGATGAGGCAATGAGGTGGAGGCTTTTGCTTGGGGCCAATGATGTGGTATGCGCGGTAAGAGAAACAAAGAAAATGTCACTGCCTTACACGCTCTAAGATCCTCCGTCCAGCCTAGATAATAAATGTCCCATGCAACGCGCGCAAAGTTTACCACATCTCCTGGCTGGAGTGCCATCAGATGGGGAGAAAGGCAAAGGCCAGCGTCAGTTTGCTATCCAGAGTGCTAGACAAACAATGGGCTACAGATGTAGAAGATGTTTGGGGGAAGAGCAGCAAGAGGGCTCGCTCTGGGGGACCAAAGTTTCTTGTAAGACCTGTAGGATCCGGTCAAGTCCAGGGCTGGCACGTTGCATTTGGGGGGGGGGGAGCTCAGATGTGGGAGCCTGTGCAAGACCGACCTCGGGGAGAACCTCGCGGTCTACATCGGGACTTGAAATTACCACGATCAGCCGCTCAATCCAATACGTATACAGATTTGTAAGGCGACTAGTGTTATCCTGTGGACTGGCACGCAAAGACGGCAAAGCACGTCCGGGGGATCAACCGCGCTCGTGTGACACGTTGCCCAACACTCTAGTCGAGCCGCCCCAAGACTCTCGAGCGGGGTCATTCATTCCCCCAGATGTGCAGACCGGACGATGAGTAGGGATATGGTACCCTGGCCCGGAAGCTATGTAAGCGGATGTGACACAGATAAGACGGATGGCAGGGGTAGCTGCGGGGAGAAAGAGATCCAAGCGTGGTCCGCCTCACTCTTACACAGAAAGGAACAACTCTACTCCATTCTGGAGTTTATTGGGGACGGGATGATGTTCAAGAGCTATTAAGCAATAGCTTTTGCCGTCGGAGAGGGCCAAAGCGCCGTCCCGAAGGCCGCTATATCTCATATCCTCAGACTCTATGCGGCCATCTCCTCCTCTTTGGTGCAGCTGAATGCAAAGCTAAGCCACTCTCGCCAATAGTGCACTCTTTTGTTTGTCCTTATCTCCCTCCCCCCCTTCCTGGTTTCAGCTCAGCTTGGCAACACCATGTCTGAGGCCTCTCTCGTACCACATGAGCAACCAATCGACACCCTTCCGAGATCAGCACAGCCTCAATCTTCCCGATACCCTTGCTTCCCCAAACTAACCGGGCGATGCTAAGCAGTTGGGCGAACCACCAGGCGGACCACGGCTACAGCCGACAGGGGGGTAGCACTTTGTGGGATGCAAGACCCCCGAAAGAAAGCTCTACCAAGCTTTGCCCAGCTTCTCGGCTTCCTGCGGTATGTGTGCAGGCATCCGAGATCGCACAGCCAAATGGAAGGGCTGGTGAATAAGCGTGGTTACTTAACTATCAGCAGCCCTGCGTGCTGGCTGCCTGCCCATCGAAATCATGTGTTACCGTGGCGGACGACTCTGACCCTGCTCTCATCCTCCAAGTCCAATTAATAATCTCTGCCTCCCCGATATATACGCTGCTGGCCTGGCCCCGCGTGATTGAAGGAACGGCTGAGCAAGTGTACCATTATGGAGAGTTTCCCTCATGCCCCAGGCGATCCGCGCCTGGAGGCGACAACCCGCCCAGACGACACAGATTCCATCGACAGTACTCGGGCGCGAATGTTATGGGCCAACAAAGGCCCAACTCAGGTGGTGTTCTACGCCCCAAAAGAGCGATTCCGCCTGGGTTATTTCGATGTGATGTGCCTGGTCATCAATCGCACCATCGGTGAGCCTTTCCATTTCTTCATGTATCACAGGTAACGGGATGGTAAAATGATCGGCGATGATGTTCAAATGATTTATTTGTCGTGTGTCGTGTACACATTGGCGTGCCCGTGTATGAATGCTGTGGTCGCTTCTGTGGACGAGGCATACAAACTCCCCTTCGTCCTCCTCTCCTTCCAGTCTTCTTTCTTCATTATTTCGTCCTTCCTCAGGGCGCCTCTTCGATGTTGCGGGGCTCTCTTCTTCGCCTCAAGTATTTCAATGGCTCATAGAGATGACTAGGTACTGGCATCTTCAACTCGCCCCAACGGGTCATGATTCACACCAGATCAACTGGCGCCTCTCTCCTGCTCTGGTTCGTCGGCATCATTTACTGCCTCTCCGGCCTCCACGTCTATCTCGAGTACGGTCTCAATATCCCGCGCTATACGATCGATGGTATTGAGCAGCCTGTGCCCCGGAGCGGCGGTGACCTCAACTACCTCCAATATGTCTACCGCAAGCCGGCCTACCGCAAAGGCACCGTACTTCTCAGTACGTGTATCTTCGGCATTGCCTTCATTGCACTTGGAAATATGGCAGGCAACTCCATCAGCTTCGCTATTCGCGTCATGAGCGCTGCTGGCAATGATAGTCCCGACAACGGTACGGTTCGCGGCATCGCTATAGCTATTGCCATCATCACCTGCTTCATCCACGCAGTCTCTCGCCGCTTCGGAATCTGGCTCAATAACGTTCTTGCCGTCGTCAAGGTCTGCATCCTCCTCCTCGTCATCATCACTGCCATCGTGGTCGGCGCAGGCGGCCTCAACACTCCCAACGTGCTGTCCGAAAATACCAGAATCGACAAGGCATTTGAGGGGAGATCAACCGATCTAAATGATTATTCCCACGCATTCTTGGCAATCATCTTCAGTTTCTCCGGTTTCGAGCAGCCCAACTATGTCCTTGGCGAAATCTCCAGGCCCAGACGAAAGTATCCCGTCGCCAGTATCGTAGGTGTGACAACCATGGTGCTGTTGTATTTGGCCATGAACATCTCCTATGTAAGTAAATCCCCAGTGTCAACTCTTTTTATCCCTTCTAGTGTCTCTAACATGTCAAATCAGATGGTAGTTGTGCCCAAGGAGGAGCAGCTCACGGCACCTGGCGGCGTTGCTGAGCGCTTCTTCGAACTCACCCTCGGGAACCTTGGCACATCCGAGAACCAAATCGTTGGCAAGAGGATATTCAACGCCTTTCTCGCAGTCAGTAGCCTCGGAAACATCATCGTCATGACCTACACGGCAGCTCGGGTGAAGCAAGAAATCGCCAAGGAAGGCATTCTACCATATCCCGCCTTCTTCGCCCAGAGCACAGACCTGTCCGTCGGCCGCTTTCTGCGATGGATCCAGAAGAAGGGCTGGTTCAACACTCTTCTCAGCTCGCGATGGCTCTCGCCAGACTCGCATCGGGAGAAGACGCCTGTTGGCGCTCTCATTCTCCACTGTGCCTGCTGCATGGTTCTTATTCTCGCCACTTGGAGATTGACGCCTGCCGAGGCCTACACGATTCTCACCTCGATCAGCTCTTATGTCATCAACGGAGCTATTGGGACATTTATCGGTCTAGGGATCCTGATCTTGAGGTTTAGGGGGCCTCCGAGCACCCCCGCGCCCCAGGCAGCGAAGCCCCTCGAACAACCGACTACCAAACCCTCGTGGAAGCGTATGACTGGGAGACATTTCAACCCCGTTTTGAGTGTCGTATGTGCCAGTCTTTATACCGTTGGAAATCTGTGGCCTGTGGTTACCCAATGGGTTCCCAAGCGCGCGGATCCAAGCACAGGAGACTCTCCCACTCCCGAATATACATACACGGCGGGGGTAAAGTCCTTTGTCATTCCTACCATCGGTTGGGGCGTCATTGGACTTGGAATAGCCTGGTTCCTTGGTTTCCTTGCTGTCGCTCAGTACAAGCGATACAACTACCATGAGGTATTTGTCGTTGACAAAAAGCCCGACTTTGAGAATGCCAGCAGTGGTACCACAGGCGATGAAAGTGCGGCGCGCGGCAGCAATGGCTTGGTCATGGTCCATGAGACTGTGTACCTTAGCTGGGTCGGTAAGGAGACGCTTCGTCAGCGGAGGCCTGGTGCAGGGGCAAAGGACGACTTTGACGGATCGCTGCCTATGCCTTCAGATCCCTATGCAGGCACAGATTTCAGCGGCCATTTCCAGGACCAGCAGCAGCGGCAGCAGCAAAGCCAATACGGGATGGAAATGGGAACCATGAGCCCTCATACCTATACCCAACCCAATGCAGAGGTATCGCCTGGGTTCCGCCCTACCAGTTTCCAGACATCACCAGTATCACCAACCTCAAACGGCAACTTCCAGCCGACAAACTTCGGTGTAAGCAGCGATACCAACCCTGCTTCATATCAGTTTCATAGCACCCACCAGCAACGACAACAGAGCCGCCCCACGAGAGGAAGCAGTTTTGGGGATGGTCGATATCAACAAGATCATTCGTCTCAACGATACCCCACGCAACCCTCACTCGCTGAGCAGCCAGCTGTGGAATACGACGATTTTGGCAATGTTATCGGGGGCCGAGGTGTAGGGAGAATGTGAGGTGTCTCTTGTATCAGTATGGCGTTTATGGTATTGACCCAAGGTGGATTTGTCTACTCATTATTTCCAGAAAGCACTCACTTCAATAAGCGAACCAAATTTTATATAGCATTATCAAACCTATCATATACCCAATATATTCTCAAACTATTTTATCAACCAGAAGCATCCAGTTGAGGAAGCATGATACTTCCTCTCAGGAGAAACATGTACTCTAAGTTAAGGTACGCATCTTCACCACGTCAATTCTATTCTAAGAATCCGACTTAACTACGAAGAGACGCCTATCTAGTGATCATGGTTGCGAGTTGAGATTCAATAATATCCATCAAATTATTTAGCTCGTAGGGTATCTACCGCTAGACAGCTTTGAGGCAGAAAGACACAATGAAGTTGAATTCAGAAGAAAAGCATTGAAACTGTACTAGAGATTGCACCAGAAGCAATCCTAAATCACCTAATATTCAGGCTTCTTGCCTTCCTTGAGAAGCTCCAAAACCTCCTGCAGGACTTTACCCAATTCCACCCCCAGTCCTGCAGCCTCCCACCGCGCGGCATCCTCCGGGCTCATCTTCCCCAGCGGCATGGAGCGCTCCATGGACTGCTTGTCGATGAAAAACTCCGGCGCCGTGGTAGCCACGTTCATCCGCAGGCCCATCAAGATCTGCCTCAAGTGTCCGCCGGCCCTGCCACCGCCGCGCACGCCGTAGGTGACAATGGCAGCTGGCTTCCCGGACCATTCGTGGTAGAGATAGTCGAGGGCGTTCTTGAGGCTGGCGGGGACGCTCCAGTTGTACTGGGGGGTGACGAATATGAAGGCGTCGAACTGCTTGGCGGTGGCTGACCATTTTTGGGTGTGCTCGTGCGTATAGTGCGGTGTTGGGTTCTCTCGTGGCAGCTGCGAGGGAACTGCGGGCTCATCGTATAGCGGAAGAGATTGATCTGCTAAGTCTAGGGGAGACAAAGTGACATCTGTGTCATGACTTTCGAGCAGATCATAGACGAATTGCGTAACGAAGGGGTTGAGGCGAGGGGACCTCGTGCTGCAAGTGACAACAGCAACTCGATACATGGTGTTTTCAAAGGGTAAGATCAGTATATTGAGTTTATCAAAGTAGTACTTGGAGTTGATGGAAATGGCTGAATTGCTATAGAAGCCATTCCTACGCCTACCTATTTATACTGGAAAGATATCATGGTAAAGGGAGTGTTTGGAAAGCCGTCAGACCCGCTCTTGCGGGTATTGCGGCGGGACATTGAACACTCAAATATATCACTCCAGATTCCGATATCTGGGAATAGTCCGTCCGGCAATGAGAGCCGGCATGTTGGTAGCGGCTCCTGCGGGGGCTTTGCGGATATTGCGGCATCCTCCACTCTGACGGCGTGGCACTGGCTTTGAACGCTGATTTCCCTTCGTGGTTACGAGCTGTTTCTTCCCTTGTAAACTCGTCTCCCGCACTATCCGCCATGCCCAGAAGAACTGCTCTGGCTGCTCGCCATATCACCCCCTCAAACCGTATGCGAGCGTATGCTGCGTGTACCGAATGCAGGCGTCGTAAGCGCAAATGCGACGGGGAAAGGCCATGTTCCTCCTGCAAGAATTATGGTTACAATTGCTCCCTCGCGTCTACGAGCGAGGCCACGACAAGCGGCGGTGGCCCCGTGCCCTCTCGACCGACACCTCTCGATAACACCGCAGACCCATCACAAGCCATTTCCTCTGAAGAAGTCGTTGTCAGCAAGGAACGGGGACGTCTGGTCAATGCTCACAGTGCTGCAGTATATCCGTTTCTTGTTGGTCGGGGGCTGGATGCTGCAGAACCTCCAAGACTGCATTCCTACGCCTGGAATCTCGGTCTCCAACCAGAACGGCGAGGGACCGTCGACACCCAGCTCTCCCAATATATCACATTGGAAGAATGCCGGCAGCTTTCTGCAGTGTATTTTGAGACTGTTCACTCCTTCTTCTCGTTTCTGCGCCAAGATAATTTCTTGATGCGAATAGAACACGCCTGGCACAACCTGGAGGAAAGCAGTATAAATTTCGCTGCCGTCGTCGCAGGAGTTGCGGCACTGGGTTCTTTCTTCTCCAGCCGACGCCATCCACAGGAGGAGAACCTCAAGAAACACTGCGTCTCCACCCTCGAACTGGCTTATTCGACACCTGCCAGCGCCATTGACTTGGACTCTGTCTCTGGGCAGATCCTCAGGACCCTGTATGCTCGACTGACGACCCGGCCGGCAGTGGCCTGCTTAGCAAGCCATAATGCAATGCACTTGGTGGAAATCATGGGCTTACATGCCTTGTTCTCTGCACCAAGCACGTATAACCTCTCGGAGAAGATAGGTCTCGGCATGGAAGAGATTAGAGAACGACGGATGCTCTACTGGACAGCTTCATTCTTGGACCACTTACTGAGCATCGAGTATGGGATGACGCCGGTGGCTTTGTCTGTGATATCAAATGTCTACACGGCTTCCCATGAAGAGTCACCCAATGAGCACATTCTATCATCTCTCACGAAGGCCCTAGTTTCTATGCACCAAGCCTCGAAAGATCCAACAGGAATGAAAATAATCGACGAGGCCTTTCACCAACTTGGTCAAGTACTGGATGTTTCGCCAATAGCATCATTATTCAAGGCTGAAGTGTGCCTATGCCTGCTCCGGCAGTCCCCCATCAACCTTCTAGCGCGCAACGGCAACCCTGCGAGTGTTTCGATCTTGAAAAAGGCCTTGCAGGCTATCCCTGAGCTCCTGTTCGCCAGGCAACCTTGGTGGTGCTTGTCAACTGTCCCGTTCCAGACCGTTTGCGTATGCTTGGCGGCAGACACGCCTCTATACCTATCTCTTTTGCCCGAGAGCATGAGCACTCTCAGGGCCGTTGTCGACACCTTTGACTCGCACATGACACGGGAGGCTTTGAAGACAGCACAGCAGTTGATTGAGGCATCGAGGGAGAACACCATGTCTAAGCTGTCGTTCAAATCCTCGGCGTTGGGTGAAGACCCGGCGACCGTGAACACGGAAGCGACATGGCTACCTGATGAGCAGACCCCGGATCTTCTGGGAAGCTGGCCACTCGACTTGGACTTTATTCCATATTTTGAGTAGGGCTCGAGTAGGAGTGCCAAATACTACGAGCTCCGTTGGCATCCATCTTATGACGGAGTGGATAGAAAGGCAGGATACGACGATCACATTCGATGCTGGAATTTTTCACTTGGGCACATATAATATCAAATATCAAGAAGCTTTTGTACCATAGTAAAGGCGTAGTATTTGAGGGTATAATAACTAGATGGACTCATCTACACTATATGCTATGCAGTGAAAAGGGGGAATCTCATAATTATGATCTCATGCAAAACATCAATTACAGTCCGAAACCAACACTCTAACCAGAGAGCTAGACACCTCCATCGTCTTTCTTTTCTTATGCCTCGACCTGCTTGGAGGCGGCGGTCTCGGTGGGCTGGTTCTGTCCGAGGTACTCGGACTTCTTGAGCATGTTCCACTTGTCCTCGTCGGCGTCGAGGTGGCGGAAGGAGAACCAGAAAGCAACACCACCAACGAAGGCGATGCAGGCGACGGTGGTGTAGTTCCAGACGAGGAGGGGGTCGCCGGAGAGAGGCACGAAGGCCTGGCCGATGGCGGCGGAGACGGCGCTCATGAAGAGGTTGACGCTCATGACGAGGGACTTCATGTTCTCGGGGGCCTTGGAGAAGGCGTACTCGTAGGAGGTGACGTTGGTGAGGATCTCGGCGATACCGACGAGGATGTAGGGCAGGGACTGGGCCCAGACGTTGATGGGGGCGGGGGGGCAGGTCTCGCCCGTCTTGGGGGACTTGCCGTCGGTGACGTACCAGCCGCAGTCGGGGTTCATCTCGTAGATGTAGTACTGCATGACGGCGGCGGCGACCATGGAGAGGGCGGCGACGATGAAACCGGCGGTCATACGCTTGATGGGGGTGGCGGAGAGGCCGATCTTGCGGAGGCCGGGGTAGACGACGTGGTCGAAGATGGGGACCATGATGACGATAGAGATAGGGTTGAGGTTCTGGATGATATCGTTGGGGACGCCGTGGAGCTCCATGGTGCCGGCCTGAATGGTCAGGTTACCGGTCATCTGGTTGTAGGCGAGGAAGAAGACGGGCAGGAAGAGGAAGACCTTGCAGGCCATGAGACCACGGCGGACTTCGTCGACCCAGGCGTCATCGTAGGTCATCCAGGCAGGGCGCTCAGCAGTGGGGATGCCAGAGGGCTTGGCGACATCCCAGTCGAACTTGAAGGCCTTGGAGCGGCTGCGGACGTACCAGAACATGCGCAGGAACTTGGAGAGCAGGGAGCCGGTGGGGGGAGTGAGCTTGTAATTCTTCTTCTGGGACCAGAGAACGAAGGGGGAGGTGAGGAACAGGATGGTGGGGATGAGGAAGGCCAGCCAGAAGCTGTGGAGCTTCTCGACCCAGACCATGGCGATCTGTCCACTGCAAGAACCCAGGTTGATACAGAAGTAGAAGTACAGGAAGACACGGGTGTTGGTCACAGCGGGGTCAACAATGACACGCTCGCCGTTGCGCTCCTCAACACGCATGCGGCTGTCCTCATTCTGCTCAGCAAGCAGGGGAGAGACGTTGGCCTTGAAGAAACCGGTACCGACACAGAGGCAGAGAAGACCAATGATGAAGGCAGCGAAGGCTCCGTCGGGCTTGACGATGACGTCGGGGATGGAAGAGATGACGAGGATAACGTGGGCAATGGTAGAGATACCAATGGCCAGGTGGAGAGTCCAGAAACGACCCATGCGGGCATCAGCAATCCAGGCACTGCGGCATGTTAGTCAATGAAACATTTTGATGCGATGTAGTGAACAGGAGTATTTACCCAAGAAGAGGCATGAGGTAGGCGAAGAACTGGTTGAAGAGGGTCAAAGCCTGGGCGGCTCTGGCACCCATGCCCAGAGCACCGGGCTTGCCATCGGTGATGATGGGAGAGCCGGTGGTGGATCCATCGGGGAGAGGGTTCTTGATGAAGTTGGTGTAGAGCACCGAGGATCCGTAGTAGGAGAAACGCTCGCACAGTTCTACGAAGGCGATCGTCCACATGGACCACTTGATGGGGCCGGAGACACGGCGCAGAGTGCGCAGCTCCTCCTCGGTAGGCTTGTCGGGCCACCACTCATCATCGTCGGAGCTCGAGTTGGCGTCATGAGCCTCGAGGGTCTCCTTGAGGGTCTCCTTCTCACGGGAGACATCAAGGGACTTATTGCCGGGGTTGCTGTGCTCAGGGTCGGCCAGACCGGCACGGGCGATGACGTCCGTGTCGAGGTTGACGGCGTTGGTCATCTTGGCGACGTTGTCCAGCGATTCTCTACAAATGTCACTTTGTCGAGAACAGTGTTACTCTGTTGTCGTTCCCTTTTGTGGTCACCTAGGATAGGTGATAGGGCAGGTATTAATAAGGGAGCCCAGGGATGGGGAGAAAGGGATGAAGAAGAAAGAGAATGCCTCAATGAACGCGTCGAGAGAGGACTCAATATATAGGACGGACTGGACTGGTCCCAGGAGGACGGGGGGAGGGGGGCAAGAGGGGTCTCACATGAAGACGGCAGCACATGCAACACGATCAGCGTGCCATGCTACCATCAGCAGGCTGCCTGGCATTGCCGATGGGATTCCCGCTCGATGGGACCATGACAGAGCTTACAGGATATTAGTTTAGCACAGGCCCCGGGCAAGATAAGGCAAGGGATGCGACCACACAACCGATGAGGTGCAACGTCCTGGGGTGCTCAAGGTTAAGCTCTACAGATACACCACCAGCCAAGAGTGAAAAGGTCTGGCTGGATGGGGAAGGTCGCCCGGAAGGTTGCAAAAGAACCCTGCTCGCTCTCCGGATGCATGGCCAAGCCAACAACCGTGGTGGGACCCCGGCCGAGACAATCGCCAAAAAGGTTAAAAGTCCCCAGGCCAATCACCTGGCGGCCGTCTTGGCTTTGGGACCATGTTTCGGTCCTTTTCTCAAAGGCCCAGTGGGGAGCAGGCGAGGATGGAGGACCCCGGCGGGCTCTTACTGATGTGGCGATGAGATTGGGGAGAGGCTCCGAGCGAGAGGCAGACATTCGGAGGACCCTGTTTTTGCTTTTTCCACTTTGGCCTCGATCCAGTGAAATGGCAGTAAGACAGTGATGGCTCGATGGGCCGTGGTCAGACACCTGGAGATGCATTCCAGAGCGTACCCCCTGATCCGCATGCAGTGGCACAACCCTCCCAGCCGTTTGGCTTGGGCACTGCATCCCCCATGATATCCTTGGACTGCCTGCCTGGACGGGTAAGATCGAAGATACAAGATGGTGATGTGGTGCAGCAGACCATCTTGCCCCTCGCTTCCATGGCTTCGTATCATCTTCTAGAAGGATGGTGGGCTTCTGGTCCTCCACCCATCCACGACCAGCTGCAGACTGATCGAGACTAGTCGATCACCCAGAAATGCACAGAATAGAATACCTATAACGGGAAGTTGACCATCGCCACCAGTGCGTGGTTGTGAGATGCCCGTGGCCAGGGGAGCCCCGAAGAGTTTTTCTCAGGGCGATGGCGCAATCGCAGAGGAACTGGCATCAGATGCGATCCATCAGTCTGAATCGAACCACCACCGGATCCGACAGGCGATGAGCGAGACAGAACGCCGGGGCATTGCCATCCCTCTCCTCACACACAGCTAGCACCAGGCCATGGCCAACTTCACGCAGAGATCTTTCGTAGCGCGGCTCCCTTCATCAATCAGCTCATGGGCCGGGCAAACTAACCTGAGTCAATCAAGTCCTTCTCTAGTGACGGCGCCAAGATGGAACTTTTTCTCTCGGGCTTCGATGCTCCACCATCCCCATACATTATCAACACGCTACACATAAAGTTCCAAGTCAGATCATGCTTTAAGCTTCAGCTGATGCTTATCACATTCGCAGTGCAGGACAGCACAGCACGCATCCATACGTACAGCGGCATGCAAAACAAAGCATGTGTGTGGGTGTCTCGTCTGTGCGTTGCTGATCGGTCGTCCAGCCGCACCAGCACACAGCCAATCAGTCCAGTCCCGCGATCCCAGCCAGAGGAGGGGCTTGGCTTTGCCTCCTCTGCTTCTTACACTGGCGGACCGCACGAGAGCAGTGCCCTAAATGAGGCATGGTCAAACAGTGGCTCGTCGGCTACCCCATCTCCCACGCAGTAGCCCGCGGGACAGGATGGGCGACATCCCCGAAGCGGGCGAACTTTTGCAGAGCCGCCATCGCCAAGCAATATTTTACCTACCTATGTACTTCCAACAAGATTATGCGCTGTAAGATGCTGAGGAATCGCACGTCGGTGGCGCCGCGTATATGCTGAAGGAAGGCCTCCGACTGACCAACCCAACAACAAGGCACATGCCCTATCTCAACCACTGTCTGGTCTGGACGAGACAGGTCAGTCTAGGCAATGACGGCTGTGGCGCATGATTTTCTTCTCTTCTTTTATTTGAGAGAGGCGACACTCTGCCGTGTAGTTGCCGTGCTTCCATGAAACTAGTGCGGCAAAAATGATCCTCCTAATTACACTCATTTCCGTCCATCGCACGCGCTTGTGGCAGGTTCCGTGCGAGACACCCGCAGGCGTACAGCAGGGCATTACAATAACAAGTGATAGAAGACAAGACCAACCGATTGTGCCGTGGATGAGTCCTGGGTGCAACCAACCAAGACAGGCCCCAATGTAAGCATAAGCAGTAACAACACATTCCTCCCCAAAGTCGAATTTGTCAAGCTCCCCTAGCTCGGCTCCTTCAGTGGACAGTCGCGACGATAATGCACAGGCCCCTTTGCGTGGGAATGTAACCTTCCGGATGCAACCATCGCCCAGAGTCGACCAGCCGCCATTGGCTGGTGATAGACTGCTGACGGTGGCCCTTGTCTCATCCAATATGTACTCCCCTACTGTGAATGTGAATATTACCTGTCCCTCTTGGCCATGATTTCCCGACTTTGCCCCCGCATTCACACCCGATGGCCTCTTGATTGTCCCTCTCAAGCGCCGAGTCGGGCCCTACCTCTCCCGATCCCAGCGAAGGGGGCACCATTTTAGCTAGGGGCACTTTGGGGGGCGAATCGAGAATGCCTGCTATTGATAGTGGGAGGTTGCTACCATTGTGCTATGGCAATCAATTGAAAGTGGCCGCAAATAAACCCCCCTACACGGGAGATCACAAAATCGTGCCGGCCTGCATGGCAACGGGCGCCGTACCCCGGATAACATGAGTCCTCCTGCATGTCCAACACAGTCCCTTTCATGTGCCTTCGTAAATAGTGTTGGCTCTCTACCATCCCATTACGTTTATACGAGATACATTGCCACGCGCTTCCCCAGACCCCAAAGCCGTGCCAGAGCGCAAAGATCCCCCAAGGGTCTAAATTCTGGAGTCTGTTACGTGAAAGCGAGATACAGTTTGTGCCATTACGTACAAAAATCGGTCCCTTTGTAAAGACCTGGGGAAATCCAGCAGGAGGTCTTGACACCCTGCAGGGACTGGCCCTCGCGCTGAGATCGAACACGAGGAGGCCATCTCGGTGATGTAGGTTCGGCCGCCCAAATTCAGTAAATTCGGCCACAGTCGGCTACTTGAGGCTCACTCTTTTCACGTCTAGACAACGGGAGGCCTTCCTTGATAGGCCCCCCTCATCTCAACCACGGCTCCACGGCGCCCCTTTGGTCTCCCACGGCATGCCAAGGGCTGTCTGGATTCCCGATTTGTCGGCTGATTCCGAGTCTCACGCTACCGAAGCTGTCCAGCTCAACACCTCGAGACACACTGCTGCAACGGCGCCGGGGTGGCGGAGAAAACGGTGGACCAGGCCATGGGTTGTCTCCTTGGCAATGGAGCCCCCGCGCGCCGCCAAGGACGCTTGACAGGTGATCTCTGGGTACGCTAGCATCCTGGCGCTGAAATGAATCAGCATTTACTCGTCTGCTGCTCAGTCTGCCAAGGCCCAAAAGTTCGTCCGTCTCGGGAGGGAGTATTCTGAGGATATATGGATGGCCCCATCGTTGTGAAGATACCGAGGCGCCGAATCAAGCACAATTTATGCTTTCATTAACCATGAATCCATCCCTCATGCGCAGCAGGGATTCCCAATAAACACTATTCACTGGGGCGGCCGCGAGGGAGGCGAGAAGCGAACATCTTTACTCGGATAGGCAGCAGACTGTGAAGGTCCCGCCAGCACAAACCACCCCCTGCAAATCCCATTTCATTGTTTGATTCGCCTCAGGACATTGCCCCTAAATACGCCGCTTATTGCATGTGGTGGTGCAACTGCTCCCCAACGCCTGCACCGTCCCAGTATTTCCCTGGCTTTGAGCTGGTGGTCAGCCCATCAGTTCGTCTGAATCGGAAGGGCATCGCCCCTCAAATCGATTGCTTATCGATGCAGACGATCAATCGTTTTATTACCATGGACGAACGGTTCGCCATCCAGTTTGTCCAGGCTCTCACGTGGTTCAGATTGCGTTGATCACTGTAGATGCTTGTTTCTGAGTATTCAGGTGCTTCAATCTGAAGGCGCATGCAACCTTGACCTGACTTTGAAAGGTGATACAATGTAAAATGAGATTGTATCAAGTGACTGCCCTTCTACCGCCCGTACTATAGAATTTCGGCGACGCTTCTATTGCATGTGTAGACAACCAATACCTAACCCGGAGATATCGGCAATCCGGCACGCTCGAGATGGGAGTTGTTATCATTCTAGTAAGAAGCAGGCCTCGCGCCATGGATGTCATACATTTGAAATTGGCAAAGGCAACGCTACTAGAAATGCCCTGTCGTATTGGTAATCCCAAGCAGCTACTCCTCAACAGTCCCATCCTAGAGAGAGTTAGCATCTTCTCAACTATCAGGGACCAAATTTTGTGGCGAGCGTGAAAGTGCCTCTACTACCATGAAAGCTCAACCGTACATTTCAGAAGTCAGCCACTTTCGGTACTATGATAAACCGAAGTTCTCACGCCAGGCCAAAGACCAATCTCGCACTTACCGGAGAGCATTGGGCCAAGAGTTGCTAAGCCATTTACGTGACTATCGAGGCCCGAACCCACATATCAGCTTACACTACTATTACAAGGTCTTCATTCCCATCAGTTAGACCACCGACTTTGTTGGATAAAGGACTAGTAGAATATCGTAGGTCTGTTTGCCTGCCTAGCTTCAACATGTCTGTAAACCAAAACTTTGGAGGTCGGATGCTCACTTGGTAGAGGCTACTCCGTAGATTGCTACTATCTGCCACGGCCTATTTCCCAACGTCGATTCCGAGCATTGTAGCCTTGGCGTGAGATTCGGCATCTCTATGCCGGGGAAAGCAATGTCAAGATCCTCTCCACGTCAAACACTCATGTCAGTATTAATCGTGTTTGCACGTAGCAGAGAAGTCCAGGGTCGAACCATCCGAGAATTGGCTTCGTAGAGATATGATTGCATTCTTTATGAGATAAACATTATGTGGACTTATTTGGCATACCATGTGAAGATAAATTGGGGGTGAAAGTCATAGGTTCCTTTTGTTTCCCCTGAGAGGTGGCACACGATCTTCGTAACTCATTGTTAAAATACAGCAAAGCGGGCAAATGTTGGATGGGATATTCTTTATTTAACCTTAGCCATAACCATAAATATAACAACAGTCGAGTTCTAAACTCACCATGTTAAGTTTATGACGATAAACACATCATTGAGATACCAGCAGCATTTCATTATTCGTGGGCACTCTCGGTGATTGAGGGGAAGTCCTTTACTACAGGGTAGGCCAGCTAGGGGACTCAAACCAGCTCTAATCCAATACACTTCTCGTACAGTTCGTTGATTTATTTAGTCAGATTGGGAATTCACAAAAAAAGAGGTAATATGTGAAAGATCTACGCATATTTGTTCCCATATCCCTTTTAGATCCTGCCATTCACGAAGAGTGCATGCCGATTGCTGGAGTTTCGCTCACCTCTCAATTCTACAATGATACAGCACTTCAGCCCTCCGCAAGATGAAGAAGCGTATCAACGAATTGTGAGTGAAAGATTGATGGCATGGAATCTCTGCAAATTAATTGCCGCAACGTTGTAGGAAAGTCTGCCTTATCCACGCTGCTCGATGAATGAGTCACCAAAGGCTGAATATGATTCATTTTGGATCATCTAGCGGCTCTAATCGTGATAGTTGCTTTTAGACAAGGCCATTCAGCTCTCTAGCGACATCCTGGACCCCTGTCGCCTTTGTGGCTGGACAATGGCTGAGTCTGATGAGCTGAGCGAGCGAGCTGAAAAATGCCCCTCAAATAATGATTACTCGTGGACATAGTAAGCCAGATCCGAGGAGAATAAATCTCTGGCCCGTGCCGGCCTTCTCATCATCAAGAGCAAGATCCTACAATTTTCATCACGGATATTCAAGATCAAGATGCCGACAACACTGACCATCCGGAGTCATAACCTGGGCCGCCCAAAGAAACTGGGTCTCCTGTATCTCCCCGAAGAGATCCAGAGCATCATCTACGAATATCTCCTTGTTGAGAGGACCTCGCTATGGGACAAAAAGCACGACATCGATTGCAGGAACAAGGTCACCGCCCCAGGCCAGTTTGAGATCCCCCCTTTCGTCCACAACGAAATCCTCTCCGCCCTCCCGCACCTCACCAACGATCATTCGGGCTTCAAGGCCCGCGTGGCATGCAAATGTTCCAAGCGCAAGAGCTTGGGCCTCATGCGGACGTGCAAAATCATCCGCGAGATCTCGGCTCCAATCTTCTGGTCCAAGAACATCTTTTGCTTCCGCGACGTCGGCAAGCTGGTTGCGAACCTGAATGCGCTCCGGCCATGTTACCGCGAGCTCATCAGGGAAATCAGCTTCCTGGAGCCTGAGTGCGCCGATATCCCAGCCCTCAACGCCTCTTCGAATTCCAACAAGAACGCTGCACTGTGGAGCGCCATCAAGAAGTGTGCGGGGCTTCGCCGACTTGAGCTCCCTGCCGACTGCATCAAACCGCAGGGCGTAGATTTCGCGCAACACCTGAACGACTTGGCACGGAATATGCCGTATCTCGAGACATTGAATCTGAGCTATCTCGTTGGGTACAGCGATTCGACTCTTTGGTTGACATGTCAATATCCCCCAATGTGCCGCCTCACATTCTTGCACTCGTCTCGTTCAGTACCACTTCGACCAGAGTGGAAGATAGAAAATGACGAATACCTGGAGTTGGTCCGAACGAGCGAAGACGACGACCAACTATTCTGGAACCGCAGCATGATCCAGAAGCTCCACAGCGACCTGCATCTCAACTTCCGCGTCCACGTTGACACGCATGTCCGGCTACACATCATGAAGATTTCCATTTGGGAGCTGCGCCGTGGAATACGGAGCCTGTACCTCCCTCCTGATTTGCACGAGCATGACTCGACGCGGAGGATCAGACTGCCGACAGGCAAGATGACCACTATCAGATTCTATGGGTTGCCCGTCAGTAAAGTGAGCAGGCTTGAGAAGGCACAGAAGAAAATTGCACTGGATCAGCAGCAGAAGGAAATCAACGGATTAACTCACGCTCAGCAAGTTGTGAACAAGAGCCTGGAGGCAAGGAAATCGAAGCAGCGGGCGGCAGAGAGCCAAGCGGAGTCGTCTCAGCACCACCGGCTTGTCCAAGAGAGGGCCGAGCGAAGGTTGGAGACCAATAAAGAAGAAAACAAAGAGGTGAAGAAGAAGGAGAAGAAAGCGAAGAAGAAGGTTAGAAAGTCAATGAGGAAGGGAGAGGAGGTGAGGCAGCAGGAGAGAAAGAGAGTTAACCAATGAATATCTCTAGCACTCGTATAGACACAAATCCGAATTTGATTCGGACTTTTTTCTGGAGATCTATCTTTGTTAGGTACCAGTCGAGAATAGAATCACTATCAAGGAAAGCGCTTAACCGTCGTGAGCGCAGCCTCATAGAAAGCCAGCCTTACCGGAGCTCATACGGCATCACTGGCGGGCCCCCTCTTTGATGCTGTACATCACCTGTTATATTTTATACATCGTATCACCGTCTACCATATAGCAATCTCCAATATGCGCGTAATGGTCTGGGCGGCGACCCTGTACAGCATGGCTACTTCATCACCAGGCTACATAATTGTCGGCCCAATACCAATATTCCCTTCCCTTGTAAGACAGACTGTTCGATGTACAAGTAAATCTCAAATGTGTTTTGAAAGACTATGATATCCTGCATCCTTTGTTGATCCCCTCCCGTGGGCAGGGATTCGACCCCATGTTGATGAGCCAAATCGGAAAGAGAACTTGATAGCCTCCGTGGATTCTCTGTCTCAAATCATTCGGGCTCCGACTTCGGATTCTTCATGTTTTGTAGAATCCAGCTTGACAGTTGCCTCTTCCGCGAAATCTCTGGTAGATTCTGAGTTCGAACATTTCGGGCATCCGCGAAGGTTACTTCGAGTTGGGTTCTGGTTCCTTGGCATGCTGGACATGGGTCGAGACATCTGGTAAGGTAGTGAGTAGGTCAACGTATCCAGCCACAATATCCTTGTTATAATTCGATATGAGGGCATGCGGAATACCGATTTGGAGGCTAGGTGAATGGCCGTTGAGATAGGAAGTTCTATATTCCAGTAATAGTAAGAATAATACTATGTTTCCATCATGAGAGCACGATTGTGGATATCCTTATCAGATATCGGTTTATCGATATCCGATCTTATTAATTAGTTATATATACTTATCTAACCTTCGGTTAGAACCTTCTAACAGATAGCTTTTAATCCTAATTATTATTATATTTAATTTACTACTTTTTACTTTTACTTTACTATACAGCCCTTATTAAACTATACTAATTAGTCTAGAAGACTAAGATAGACTAACAGATCAGATTAATATCTATTTATTTTTCTATAGTATAGTTAATCTTTTATTCAGCTAGGAAAGATTATTAAAACTATCTGTAAGGAGATCCAGATACTTTATTATTAATTTCTTTATTCTATCTATTTATTCCTTCTTCTATCTATCTATTTCTTTATTTTAATAGATCTAATTTACTTTCTATATATTTCTATATATTAGATATATATTTTTACCTACTTATATATTTATTATATTAGTCTATTAAATACCTAGTAATCTAATTACTATATCCTCTAGACCCTTTATCTTTTATTTTATTAGTTTATTTATATTTAGCTAGTTCCTACTAAAGCCTAATATATTTATAACTTAATATATTATTAACTTATTAAATTAAACTATTTTCTTACTTATTTATTATTTAGTACTAAGAATAACTAATAGTTTCTTTCTTATTTTCTTTCTCTAGATAACTTATTATATTATTAATTTTTTATCCTCTTATTATATTATTATATTAATCTACTAATATATTAATATATTATTATATTAAACTTATCTATTAACTAACTAGAAATAGTATAATAAATCTAGAATCTAGTAATTAGAAAGCTAAAAACTAATTACTTTAAAATATATAATCTAGTTAAATAATAATAATAAATTTAAACTTAAATTAGTTTAATAATATTCTAATTCCTTCTATCTATAGATAATATATTAATATATTATTATAGGGAAATCTAGCTAGTTTTAATCTAATAATTATAATAAACCTATAGAAGGTATTATATATAGTATATATAATAATCCTTTAGAAGAGAATATAATACTATAATTAGATTCTCTATAAGATTATATCTAATAAGTTTAAGTAGTAGACTACTAATTACCTTATTAATTATAGAAAACTAATAGAATTATATAATAGTTAGATAACTTATACTAAACAGGGTCTAGAGTAGATCAGGGTTAAACTAATTAGAGTATTATTCTAAGTAGTATAATCAGATTATCTTAAGCTATATAATATAAGTTACTATTAATATATAAGTATTATAGAGCTAGTAATAATAGATATATAGATAATTATATTAATAACTATTTAAAAAAGTATTTCTATCTAAGAAATAAATATATATATATATTAATTATAGAGTATAAGGAGTATATTACTCCTAGTAATCTATCTTTATTCTATAATAAAAGTATAATACTTCTATTACTTCTATCCTTTAGATAGTAGGATTATATATAACTATATAACCTATTATAGAGATCTTTATTTATAATATAATACTCTCTTTTTATTAGTCTTATCTCTAAGATTCTATATAATCTTAGTAAGTTTTTCCCTTCTATATATATAATAGCTATATTATAATATTTATTATATCTAACTATATCTATAAGTTAGTATATTCTAAAACTTATAAATAAGTTCTTCTTACTATTACTATCTAGATATTTAATCTTCTAGCTAATATACTATATACTCTATATTTTAAGATAAAAAAAAAGTATTTTATTCTTCTAAATAGAAAGTTATTTTAATATAATAAGTATATATAAAATAGTTATTATTATAATAGAGTATTAGTTATATCTAACTATATATATCCCCTTATATATTCTAGCTATATCTTTCTAATTTCTATTTTAATAGAAAAATTAATAATATAATAAAAAAAACTAATTAAAGAAGAATTTAATATAGATAAGAAGATTCTTTTTTTATATTAATAAATAACTTAACTTTAAAATAACTTATTTACTATTCTAGGGTATATTTAATATATTTATAAAGTATATAGATATATTAAGAGTAAAGTATAATAGGAAATTTAGTATAATCTTTAAGAGCTTAATAAAAAAGAGTAACTATCTTTAGATCAGATCTTTAACTTCTTTAAGGCTTTTAAATAATATACTTTAGAGAAAATCTAGTTCTTAGGGATTATCCCTAAGATAGATTTAAATTTATTAGATTTTAAGAAGGATTTTTCTAATTTAGTTTCTCTTTTCCTTTCTAATAGAACTAGTAAATTAAGTATTAGTACTTCTTTAGATATTTAACTAGTTCCTATATATTATTATTATTAGTATATTCTTTCTATTTAACTAAATAGAATATTTATCTATTTCTAACTTTCTTTTTTAAAATCTCTTCTAATTTAAATTTTTCTTTATAAACTTTAATTAGATATTCTTAATCTAGTATATTATCTAGTACTTTTTTAAGTAATAAAATATAAAAAACTGAATAAATATATATTATATCTAGTAATAAGAGTTTATAGTTAGTATCTGATTTTTTCTTAAGGATTTTAAATAGTTTAAGTTTTTTATAATTTAATTTATTACTTAGTTTTATTATTATAATATTTTTATAAAGTAGATAGATCTTATCTCTCTTCTCTAAGATTAGTTTTTCTAATCTAATCTTATTATAGTATTTTTTTATTCTTTATTAGATAAATTTAAGTTCTATTTTTATTTTTATATATAATAAGTATAATATTTCTTTTATAAATATAGTAATTAGTATATTAAATCTATTAAGTTCTAATTAGTTCTAAAACTATAGTTTATAACTATAGTTTATATATATAGATATAAGTTAGATTAATTTTTATACTAAGCTATTATATACTATTTATACTATAAATAGTAATTATATCTAATTATTTTACTTATAATTAATATATATTTATAGATATTACTTTAGAGTTTAGTTTAATTATTCTATTTAATTATTACTTTATAAGTAATAAGCTATTAAAAGTTTATACTTAGTACTTATTTATACTATAAGTAATTATTAAAACTTAGAGATAAATATTACTCTTCTATCTAATATTATTTTATTAAGTAATCTATAGTAACTAACTATATATTATAGAAATTAATATATAAGATCTTCTATAGAGCTTATTTTCTTATATAGAATAAAATATCTATACTTTATAAGTCTATTAATAACTATTAATATACTATTATATTCTACTCTAGTTATTAATTCTTTAGATAATAATAGTTTAATAATATAATTAAAGAATACTAATTATTATAGTTATTCTAATACTAAGATTAGTTTAAGTTCTCTATAAGGTTTATATTATATAAACTTAATTCTTATATAAGTATTATATTCTAAAACTATAGTCTATATATTCTTTTTTAGATCTAAATAGTTATAATATTATTTAATCCTATTAAATATTTTCTTAATTTCTTAATATTCTAAAAGTAAATACTTATAGATTTCTTTAATAAGTATTATTCTAATATCTTATTATAATTTTCCTAAGCTAGAAATAGTTTCTATCTGGACTTTAGTATATATTACTCTTTTAAGTATAGCTCCTAAGGTTTCTTATACTAAGTATTCTTTATTATTAGTTAAGAATAACTATCTATTTATTTTTAAAACTACTTTTTTATATTCAGATTTCTAGCTAAGAGTATTAACTCTTCTATTTTCTAATTCTTTTTAATATATAATTTTATAATTAAACTAAGATAGATATTTAGTATAGTATATTTATTTTCTATTTAGTTATTAAATTATAATAAAGTACTAAATATTCTTATAATCTATATATATCTTAATTTTATATATTATTTCTAAGTAATAATATTTAAATTCTTTAAATATATATATAATAGCTATAAATTCCTTATTATAGATTAGATAATTAAGTTCTATACTATATAGTTTCTTTAAGAAGAATACTATAGGGTATAATACTCTATTATTATTCTTTTAGCTAATTTATATACTAATTATAAAGTCTAAGATATCTATTTTAAGTTCTATTTCCTATATAGAATTAAATATCTATAGTATAGATTCTAAAAGTATTTAATTCTTTATTTTCTTAAATATTTATTATTATTTATTATTCTATTAAAATTCTATTCTCTTTTTAATACTATTATATAAAAGTATAGTAATTTTTCTATAATTTTTAATAAATTATTAATAGTAATTAGTAAATCTAAGAAAAATCTATATTTTCTTAATAGATTTTAATACTTTTTATTTTTTAATTATAATAATCTTATCTTATTCTATCTATATTTTATTTAGTTAAATAGTATATTCTAAGAAATTAACTTTTTATATATAGAAAAAACTTTTTTCTAATTCTATAAAAAGTTTTACTTTTTTTAATTTTTCTAAGACTTAATATATATATTTCTTATATATTTTTAGATTATTAGAGAAAATTAAAATATTATTAAGATAAATAATTATAAAAATATTAAAATATTTCTAGAATACTTAATTAATTATTTATTAAAATATTATAGATATATTTATTAATCTAAAGAGTATAATAAAATACTTATAGAGATTAAACTTTATTCTAAATACTATTTTCTATTTATTTTCTTTCTTAATTTATATTAAATTATAAGTTCTCTTTAGATCTAAAATAATAAACTACTATTTACTCTATAATTAATTTCTAAATTTAGTAATTAGTAATAAAGATATCTTATTCTTATATATAATCTTATTTAACTATTAATAGTTAATAATTAAATAGAGTTTATTATTTTTTTTAGATATAAATATTATAAGATATTCTATAGATAAAGTTAATAAATATATATAGTCTTTTATTAGTATATTATTAATATATTTATAGAGTATTTATAACTAAGGTTCTATAAGATTATATAATTTATAGAAATTAAATTCTTCTTTTTTAATAATAGAGATTTTATAATCTTATTAGCTATATTCTAATAATCCTATTTTAAGTTCTTCTATAAATAATATCTTCTTAAAATAATTATATTTCTATAGAATATTTTTAAAATATTTTTCCTATTTTAAATATTTAGCTTATTTATACTTATACTAAATATCTTTTTCCCTATTCTATTATACTTTTTATTAATTATTTATTTAGCTTTATTTCTAAATTCCTATACTAAATAGTTTTAAAGATAGCTCTTTAGTTTCTTTTTATTATTAATTATATTTAACTTTATATTTTTATTACTATTCTTTTATTAGTTATTTCTAATTAATAAATACTAAATCTATATCTAAGAGTAATTCTTATTTCTATATCTAATCTAAGATTTATATTATTTATTTTAGTTCTTATTATAATAGATTTCTTATATTTCCAGATTATAGTATTATTAAAGCTAATATTACTATATTTATTTATTATTATAAATTATTATAGTTTTTTATAGTAATACTTCTAGATATTAAGAAATAAATATATTTTTCTAATATCTAATAAAATTTTAATTTTTATTAATTCTAGTATTAATATATAAGAGTATCCCTTTACTCTATCTAATTAGTATATTAATTAATTAGTAGATTTATATCTTAAAGCTATAGTAATCTTAATATAACTTTATAAGTCCTTAGTAGTACTAAGTTATAAATAATATTAAATTTTCTTTTTTAGATTTTAATTATAAGATAATTAGTTTTTAAATTAATAATCTTATTATTATATTTAAACTTTAAACCTTTAATATTTATAACTATATAGATTTCTTCTTTCTTTTTCTATAATAAGTAAAGTTAGTTAATTATTATTAGTAAGATATAATTTTCCTATATTCTATAATTAATAAATATTATAAATTAGTTCTTTTTAATCTCTATTTCTATAAGAATATATATAGAGCTTCCTACTTCTATAGCTTCTAAAGTTCTTTAATCTATTATTAATATTATACTATACTATAGCTCTATTATAGATAATTTAGATTATTTTTTATCTAGTTAACTTATTCTTATAATTAGTTTATTAATAATAATATATTTTACTTATTATATATTCTATTCTATTCTTATTTATTAGTAAAAATAATTTCTAATTCTTTCTTATTATTATTTTTTTTATTATTTATAAATAAAGATTAACTATTTAAATATTATTCTTATATTTCTTCTTCCTATAGTTATTATTATTTAAGATATAATTTAATAGTATTTATATTATTATTACTATTTTATATTAATATTAGTACTTCTTATTTAATTTCTTAATAATTTCTATAGCTCTAGTTATAGTATAACTTAATATAATTATTATAATTATATATAGCTTATTCTTCTACTTATTAGTAGTTATACTATAGCTTAATCTTATTATCTTTATAAATTTTATATCTCTATTTTTAGTATATCTCTATTAGAAGTTCTTCTTTTATATATTCTTTAGAGTATTCTCTTAAATCTTCTTTAAAGATAGTATAGAGTTCTATTCTATAGTATTAGTAAGTAAACTATTATATTTAGATAGTATTATACTTTCTAGATATTTTTCTATTAGAAAATAGAAAAAAATTATTTATTATTTTTTCTTATTAATATATAGTATACTAAATATTATAATATATTATTTAGAATTCTAATCTATAGTTATACTTTCTACTAGTATTTATATATATTAGATTCTTATATCTATTACTAGAGTATTAAATAGTATTTATAGTATCTCTTCTATATAATACTATTCTTTATATTTTCTTAAGGTTTTATATTTATATTTTTTATTAATAGTAGATATAAAGCTTATTATATTTAGCTTTAATCTTATCTCTAGTAAATATATATTAGTTCTATTCCTTAGGAATATATTTAATAAGTTTATTAATATAGTAGAATATATATTTATACTTAATAAGAGATCTAATATTTATAATATTCTTTCTTTCTTTAAACTTCTATTTAAGTTCTTAAAGAATATATATAATATATTATTAGTTTTCTTCTAATACTATTTATTTCTTTTTTTTATTATTAGTTTCTAATATTTTATAGAAGTTTAATATAGATTTTCTAGAAAATATAGGAATTATAATAACTATATAGTTTTTTTCTTAAGTAATCTTTCTAATTATTTCTAGTATTTTAATCTTAGTTTTTCTAATTATTTCTAACTATTTTTTATCTTCTTTAGTAGATTTCTAATTTTTCTATTTCTTAGGTTTTAGATATTATAGTAAAATATATCTAATCTTATTATAATTATAATACTTATATTTCTCTATAGCTTCTAGCTCTATAGGGCCTATATATATTTCAGATTCTATAGATAGTAATAGGATTTATTATACTTTCTAATTAGATTTATTTTTAATATAGTTCTAACTAGTATATTTACTTCCCTTCTACTATTATCTCTTATATAGATAGTTATTAATTTAGATAGTATTTACTATATATTTAGTATTATAAATAAAGACCTCTATAATAGATTATATAGTTATATATAACTCTACTATCTAAAGAATAAGAGTAATAGGAGTATTATACTTCTATTATAGGATAAAAATAGATTACTAGGAGTAGTATACTCTTTATACTCTATAACTAGTATATATATATATTTATTTCTTAGATAGAAATACTCCTTTAGATAGTTATTAATATAATTATCTATATATCTATTATTACTAGCTCTATAATACTTATATATTAATAGTAACTTATATTATATAGTCTAAGATAATCTAATTATATTATTTAGAATAATATTCTAATTAATTTAATTCTAATCTACTCTAGATCTTATTTAGTATAAGTTATCTAATTATTATATATTAATAACTCTTATTTAGCTAATTATCTTATCTTAATTACTATATAATATTAAAAGATAAAATAGCCCCTACTAAACTACTAAATAATACTCTATAAGCCCTAATAGCTCAGGAGATTATATAGTAACTTATAGTTTAAATTAAATAACTTAAGAAGAAAGAGATAAAAGATAAAGAGAAGATAATATAATTAATCCCCTTAGGACCCTTCTTAGATAATACTAATAAACTAGAAGAATTTAAAATCTAACTTTAAGTATACTTTAAATTCTTTTTAACTAAGCTTATAATAGATAAAAATAAAATTAGATTTATAGGAATATATCTTAATAGTACTATAGGGTAATAGTTCTAGGCTTATCTTAGGAACTAGTATAATAATAAAGCTATACTAAGCTTATAAGATTAGAAGATAGTTAATACTCTTATTAGTTATAAGAACTTCTAGACTTTACTTATTTTAATATTTAGTTAAGTAAATAAAGAATAATAAGCTATTAAGAACCTTAAGAATTTATACTAAATAGAACTAGTATTAGGATATACTACTAAGTTCAGGGAAATCTTAATATAATTAGATTAGAATAATAGCTCTCTTAAAGCTATATTCTATAATAGACTAAAAGAAGAAGTTAAGAATTAACTTTTTAAGATAGATAAATCTAAAGACCTATCTAGATATATAGTAAATACTATCTGAATTAATAACTATCTATATAAAAGATAATAATAGAAAGGAAGTAAGTATATTAATTAGAACTATATTAAAAATAAACCTAATTAGAAAGTATAATAAACCCTACTACTATCTATAGAATCTAGAATATATATAGGCTCTATAGAGCTAGGAGCTATAGAGAAATATAAGTATTATAATTATAATAAGATTAGATATATTTTATTATAATATCTAAAACCTAAGAAATAGAAGAATTAGAAATCTACTAAAGAAAATAAAAAATAATTAAAAATAACTAAAAAAACTAAGATTAAAATACTAAGAATAATTAGAAAAATTATTTAAAAAGAAAACTATATAGTTATTATAGTTCCTATATTTTCTAGAAAACCTATATTAAACTTCTATAAAATATTAGAAATTAATAATAAAAAGAAGAAATAAATAGTATTAGAAGAAAACTAATAATATATTATATATATTCTTTAAGAACTTAAGTAAAAGTTTAAAGAGAGAAAAAATATTATAGATATTAGATCTCTTACTAAGTATAAATATATATTCTACTATATTAATAAACTTATTAAATATATCTTTAAAGAATAGAATTAATATATATTTACTAGAGATAAGATTAAAGCTAAATATAATAAGCTCTATACTTATTATTAATAAAAAATATAAATATAGAACCTTAAGAAGATATAAGGAATAGTATTATAACAGTTGGGTTAACTTATACTGGACAGGGTCTAGGGTAAGTTAGGGTTAAACTAATCAGAGTATTATTCTGAGTAGTATAATCAGATTATCTTAGGCTATATAATATAAGTTATTATTAATATATAAGTATTATGGAGCTAGTAATAATAGATATATAGATAATTATATTAATAACTATCTAAAGGAGTATTCTATCTAGTAAAGTAAATATATATATATACTAGGGGATTATTAAGGCTTAGTAATAATCTATTATCCTGGATTATTAGGATTATTATAAGATCCTAATAATCTACTAGTAATTAGTTAGAAAAAGTAGGGTAATCTATATAACTCTAATATATAATAATATAATCTATAATATAAGGTTCTCTCTCTATTAGTTATATCCTTAAGACTATATTTTGCAGTCTATTAGTAAGTCTTTTCTAATTTAATTCTATATTCCTCTTATAGTCTGTAATAATATCTAACTATATATAGAAAACTTCTTATAAGAAAACCCTTTAGTATAATACCCTTATTAATACTATTCTATTAAATTCTTTAGTAATATAGTTAGAGTATAGCTATTATAAGTCCTATAGTTATAAATACTTTAGATCAGAGGGTTCTTTATCTTATTATTTCTACTATATAAAAAATAATTAACTATATTATAATACCTAAGGCCTTATATTAGAACAGCTAAGATATATTACTAATCAGTATAGTAAGCTGGAGTCTGAGCTGGAGATAGTAGAAGAGGAGTATTATTATATAGATATAAAAATCTAGTATCTTTATTAATAAAAGAAATTATAGTTAGATAAGATAATACAGGTAGTATCTTATAGTATTAATAGTATAGAGGAACTAGAGTATATTAAATAAAAGGAGGTAGAGGAGGTAGCTTAAAAACAGACTTCTTCTCTAGCTATATCTTTATCTGAGCTTATATTCTTAGAGATTAAGATTAATCCAGTATTTCTTTAGGAGGGTATAGAACTATCTTCTTCTTAGTTTATTAGGATAGATATTTCTAGTCCTGGTAATACTACTGAATAAGCTACTAATAATTCTTTAAGTACTTAATAGGTTCCTAAGTATTATTCTTATTAGTATATCCCTTCTATTTTACTAAGTAAAAGATTTATCTATTTCTAACTTCCTTCTTTAGAATTTTTTTAAGTTTGAATTTCTCTTTATAGACTTTAATTAGGTAATCTTAATCTAATATATTTTTTAGTACTTTTTTAAGTAATAAGATATAAAAAACTAGGTAGATATATATTATATCTAGTAGTAATAGTTTATAGTTAGTATCTGACTTTTTCTTAAGAATTTTAAATAGTCTAAGTTTTTTATAATTTAATTTATTACTTAGTCTTATTATTATAATATTTTTATAAAGTAGGTAGACTTTATCTCCCTCTTCTAAGATTAGTTCTTCTAATCTGTTTTTATTATAATATTTTTTTATTCTTTATTAGATAAATTTAAGTTCTGTTTTTATTTCTTTATATAATAAGTATAATATTTCTTTTATAAGTATAATAGCTAGTATATCTAGTCTATTATATTCTAATTAATTCTAGAATTATAGTTTATAACTATAGTTTATATATATAGGTATAAGCTAGATAGATTTTTATACTAAACTATTATAAGTGATCTGTACTATTAGTAATAGTTATACCTAATTATTTTATTTATAGTTAATATATACTTATAGATATTATTCCAGGGTTTAATTTAATTATTCTGTTTAACTATTACTTTATAGGTAGTAAGCTATTAAAAGCTTATACTTAGTACTTATTTATACTATAAGTAATTATTAAAATTTAGAGGTAAATATTATTTCTCTATCTAATATAATTTTATTAGGTAATCTGTAGTAACTAACTATATATTATAGAAATTAGTATATAAAATCTTCTATAGAGCTTACTTTCTTATATAGAATAAAATATCTATATTTTATAAGTCTATTAATTATTATTAGAATACTATTATATTCTACTTTAATTATAGGTTCTTTTAATAATAGTAGTTTAATAATATAATTAAAGAATACTAATTACTATAGTTATTCTAGTATTAGAATTAGTTTTAGTTCTCTATAGGGTTTATATTATATAGACTTAATTTATATATAAGTATTATATTCTGAAACTATAGTCTATATATCTTTTTATAGATCTAGATAGTTATAATATTATTTAATCCTATTAAATATTTTCTTAATTTCTTAGTATCCTAAGAGCAGGTACTTATAGATTTTCTTAATAAGTACTATTCTAGCTTCTTACTATAGGTTTTCTAAGCTAGGGATAGTCTCTATCTGGACTCTAGTATATACTATTTCCTTAAGTATAGCTTCTAGGGTTTTCTATACTAAGTATTCTTTATTATTAGTTAAGAATAGTTATCTATTTATTTTTAGAACTGCTTTTTTATACTTAGGTTTCTAGCTAAGAGTATTAGTTCTTCTATTTTCTAATCCTTTTTAATATATAATTTTATAATTAAACTAAGATAGATATTTAGTATAGTATATTTATCTTCTATTTAGTTATTAAGTTATAATAAAGTACTGAATATTCTTATAATCTATATATACTTTAATCTTATATATTATTCCTAAGCAGTAGTATTTAAATTCTTTAAATATATATATAATAGCTATAAATTCTTTATTATAGATAGGGTAATTAAGTTCTATACTATATAGTTTCTTTAAGAAGAATACTATAGGGTATAATACTCTATTATTATTCTTTTAGCTGATTTATATACTAATTATAAAGTCTAAGATATTTATTTTAAGTTCTACTTCTTATATAGAATTAAATATCTATAGTATAGGTTCTGAAAGTATTTGATTTTTTATTTTATTAAATACTTATTACTATTTATTATTCTATTGGAATTCTATCCTCTTTTTAGTACTATTATATAGAGGTATAGTAATTTTTCTATAGTTCTTAATAAATTATTAATAGTAATTAGTAAATCTAAGGAAGGCTTATACTTTCTTAATAGATTTTAATACTTTCTATTCTTTAATTATAGTAATTTTATCTTATTCTATTTATATTTTATTTAGTTAAATAGTATATCCTAAGAAGTTAATTTCTTATATATAGAAATAGCTTTTCTTAAGTTCTATAAGAAGTTTTACTTTTTCTAGTTTTTCTAAGACTTAGTATATATATTCTTTATATATCTCTAGATTATTAGAGAAAATTAAAATATTATTAAAGTAAATAACTATAAAGATATTAAGATACTCCTAGAGTACCTAATTAATTATTTATTAGAATATTATAGATATATTTATTAGTCTGAAGGGTATAATAAGGTACTTATAGAGATTGAACTTTATTCTAAATACTATTTTCTATTTATCTCCTTCCTTAATTTATATTAAATTATAAGCTTTCTTTAGATCTAAGGTAGTAAACTACTATTTACCCTATAACTAATCCCTGAGTTTAGTAATCAGTAGTAAGGGTATTCTGTTTTTATATATAATCTTATTTAGCTATTAATAGTTAATAACTAAATAGAGTTTACTATTTTTCTTTAGTATAAATATTATAGGGTATTCTATAAATAAAGTTAATAGTTATATATAGCCTTTTACTAATATATTATTAATATATTTATAGAATATCTATAACTAGGGTTTTATAAGGTTATATAATTTATAGAAATTAGGTTCTTTTTTTTTAATAATAGAGATTTTATAATTCTACTAGCTATATTCTAATAGCTCTATTTTAAGTTCTTCTATAAATAGTATTTTCTTAAAATATTTATATTCCTATAGGATATTTTTAAGATATTCTTCTTATCTTAGATACTCAGCTTATTTATATTTATACTAGATATTCTTTTCCTTATTCTATTATACCCTTTATTAATTATTTATTTAGCTCTATTTCTGAATTTCTATACTAAATAATTTTAAGAGTAGTTTTTCTATTTCTTTCTACTATTAGCTATATTTAACTTTATATTCTTATTATTATTCCTTAGTTAATTATTCCTAATTAATAGGTACTAAATCTATATCTAAGAGCAGTTCTTACTTTTATATCTAATCTAAGATTTATATTATCTATCTTAGCTCTTATTATAATAGATTTCTTATATTTCCAGGTTATAGTACTATTAAGACTATAACTACTATATCTACTTATTATTATAAGTTATTATAGTTTTTTATAGTAGTACTCTTAGGTATTAAAAAATAAATATATTTTCCTAATATCTAATAAAATTTTAATTTTTATTAATCCTGATATTAGTATATAAGAGTATTCCTTTACTCTATATAACTAGTATACTAATTAATTAGTAGGTTTATATCTTAAAGCTATAGTAACCCTAGTATAACTTTATAGGTTCCTAGTAGTACTAAGTTATAGATAATATTAAATTTCTTTTCTTAGATTTTAATTATAAGATAATCAGTTTTAGAATTAATAATCCTATTATTATATTTAAACTTTAAGCCTTTAATATTTATAACTATATAGGTTTCT